ATCTCTCTCTTCAGCAGGAGCAATCAGAAATGTCTCCAATACCCTCTGCTTTACCCCACAGAGTGAAAGCCATGAGGCAGACCGACCTCTCCCATCCTAGAATATTTAAAATTAGATATCTACCTGCACCCCAGCCTGCCAGAGCGTGGAGAGGATCTGTGCTTCCTGGAAATGGGAGCAGTCCCTCCCAGGCTGTGGCGCCCATCCACAAACCATTCCATCGCAGACCAAAGAGCCCTCCCTGAATAGTGAGAAGGCTGCTGGAGAGACAGTAAGGTTTCCATGGGGAGGGCTATGGCTGAGCTGACTTAAACAGCAGCTCTCTCCCAGCTCCAGATCAATCATCCCAATGATCCAGATCCAGTTCCCCTATCTGATCAGAGGTCAGGGCCTGGGGAAACAATTGAGATATGGATGAAAGTGATGGTTCTTTAGGGAGAGGACACTAACCAGTTGATCTGACCCAACTAAGGAAGACGGGTGGTGATCTTTGCTGTGGGGCCATATTGTCCTAACCCTCACCTCCAAAGTGGGGCCACTGGTCCACCCCAAAGGTTACGTGCAGGAGCCTGTTCTATTGTTTGCTCTCAGGCACCAGCACAGATACTCTGCAACCCATCACCCTTTGCTTGATTTCAAGGAGCACTGGGATCCCAACCCAAGCCTGAGAGTCAGAGAGCATGGCTGGGAGCCTCTCAACAGTCACACTAGCCTCAGAGACCCTGGAAAGGGAGAGAAGAAACTACTGAATTCTCCAGGAGTGAGCCCTTGTAAGGCCTCATAGGGAAGGAGGACCAGGATTTTGAGGGCTGCTGGGCAAGGAGACTCCTCCACCATCTCTAGAAGAAATGCCACTACATCTTCTAAAAGCACTGACAACAATCAGGGTGATAAGTTTGATGGGGACAGCGTAATACGAGCTGGGGTTCTGCTAGATGTAAGATATGAACTTTCTGACCCACAGTGGAGCTAAGCGCACTATGGGGTGTGCGTGTGTCGCCATTTCCTCTCCTCCCACCTGATAGAAAATGTTGGTAGATTCTAAATTACAAAGATTCATATTTATAAAACATGGTGGGGGGGCCATTTCCTCTCCTCTCACCTGATAGACGATGTTGGTAGATTCTAAATTACAAAGACTCTTATTTACTTTGTAAATCCTAACCCAAGAAGGTTTTCCCCCAGCTAGAAGCCAACCCCTTCCTGCAACCCAGGTCTTCAGACCAAGTTGGCCAGGACTGTTCTGCATGCCAGGAGGAGGATAGGAGATGCTGACACAGCAGAGCCTGGTTAACAGATCTCAGCTTTCAGAGATCCGGGTTCAAATTCTGGGTCATGAGCTGTATGACCTTAGGCTATAATGATTTCACCTCTCTGAGCCTGTTGCCTCATGGATGAAATAAGAACACTGACGTCATAAGGTTAAGATTACAAACAGTAACATGAAAAGCACCTGGCATAAAGCATCAGTCTGCCATCTCCTCAACCCTACTGTGATGTGAGGAGTGCTTATCACAGCAGGGTACCAGCACCTCTCTCCTTTGAGAGTGACTATGCTAGGTCTCAAATAAATTAAGGCTCCCATTTCAATGAATTCACTTACTAGAAACAAACTAGGTCTTTGATAATGCATTTGCTGGCCCGTGTGAACCACCAGCTTCTTGGAAGGGGAAGGTAAGAGTGCAAGAATTGTTTTCAAACTAAAAAGAACTAGAGGCTGGGCACAGTGGCTCACATCTGTAATTCCAGCACTTTGGGAGGCCGAGGTGGGCGGATCACAAGGTCAGGATTTCAAGCCAGCCTGGCCAACATGATCAAACTCCATCTCTACCAAAAATACAAAAAAATTAGTTGGCCGTAGTGGCACACGCCTGTAATCCCAGCTACTCAGGAGGCTGAGGCAGGAGAATCGCTGTTCTATTGTGAGCAGGCCACTGCACTCCTGCCTGGGCGGCAGAGCAAGACTGTCATAAATAATCTTTTTTTAAAGCCTGTCAGCCGGGCGCAGTGGCTCACGCCTATAATCCCAGCAGTTTGGAAGGCCGAGGTGGGTGGATCACGAGGTCAAGAGATCGAGACCATCCTGGTCAACAAGGTGAAACCCTGTCTCTATTAAAAATACAAAAATTAGCTGGGCATGGTGGTGCGCGCCTATAGCCCCAGCTACTCGGGAGGCTGAGGCAGGAGAATTGCTTGAACCCAGGAGGCGGAGGTTGCAGTGAGTCGAGATCATGCCAGTCTGGGTAACAACAGCGAAACTCCGTCTCAAAAAAAAAAATAATAAAAGCCTGTCCTTCTTGGGCTGATAGTCCATCCTGGAAAAGAGTGTGACACCCCCCTTCTCTCGGTGTGCTGCATGACATACTTGCTAGAGAGGGCACATGCCATGGAAGGGCAGGTGGGGAAGCAGGCAGGAGATGCAAGAGGAAAGGGGGAAGAAGGGGTCTTTCCAACTCATCAGAACAGCAGGGACTCCATTTTTTACCCATCACTTCCCCACCTCCCCACAAAAAAGCTGGTGGTAGAATTCAGCAATCCCCTCGCAGCACCTCTCACCACCTGAGCCCTGTCTTGGCTCTCTAGCAGCCCTCTGGATGAGGCCAACTCCCTTCCCAAGGCAGACCCCTTAGAGTTGCTGAAGCAGAGGCCGCTACCCTGCTTCGTTCCCAGAGTGTGGGTTCAGGCTTAGAGTTTGGGACCAGGGAAGACACAGGATGGGAAAGGACTTGTTCAGGTGACAGCTTGTAGGTGGCAGAGTCAAAAGTAAACCCAGAACTAAGGCCAAGATTATTTCCCCACATCTCATAAAGCTATTTCGTGTGGGAGTTCATTAGAGGGGCAAGAAGGTGGGAGGGGTCAGTGGGGGGAGACTATCATCATTCCCAGCGTTGTTCCCTTAAGAAAAAAGTCAATCAACCACTCACAAGACAGCTTTGGGCAATCGTCTGATCCTACATTAGGAGTGACCCATACTCCACCAGTAAAGGGGAAGAAATCCTAAGTGTCCCGCCTTTTCATTTGCATAAAATCTCCAGAAAGAACTGGTAGTATTTCTTACCTTCAAGGAAGAGCACAAGATAACTCATGGATGACTTTTGCACCATTTGAATACTGAGTCATGTGAAGAGTCTACTAAAAATATCCTTAAAAAAAAAAAAACTCTTTCTGAAGCCCCAAGCCAGGAAGTTAGGACACTGGTTCTATTCCCATCTCTGCCACTGTGACTGCAACTTGGGGCACCTCATATACCCTCTCTAGGCAGTTTCCTCTACTGCAAAACCTGAGTGGATTGAATGAGTAATCCAAAAAGCCCCGCTATGGACCCCAATCCCTATGATGAAACCCAATCCCCAATGTGATGACATGAGGCGGCAGCACCTTTGGGGAGGTGATTGGGATGTGAAGGTATAGCCCTCATGACTGGGATTAGTGCCCTTAGAAGGGGCTGAAGAAGCCAAGAATCCTACATTTCTACTAGGTGAGGACACAGAAGGTGCCCTCTATGAACTAGAAACCCCTCACCAGACACCAGATTTGTCATCACCCTGATCTTGGATTTTCAGCCTCCAGAATTGTGAGAAATTGTTTAAGAGCTACCTGGTTGATGGTATTTTGTCACGGCAGTCTAAACGGACTAAATGGCCCCTTTCAGCTCCAAATATCTATGATTCTAGCCTCCCCAGCTAGATTCTAAAACCCATGAGAGGAGGGATGGGACAATTTTGGAATCTTTTTCAAAGTCCCTTTGTAAATCCTAACCCAAGAAGGTTTTCCCCCAGCTAGAAGCCAACCCCTTCCTGCAACCCAGGTCTTCAGACCAAGTTGGCCAGGACTGTTCTGCATGCCAGGAGGAGGATAGGAGATGCTGACACAGCAGAGCCTGGTTAACAGATCTCAGCTTTCAGAGATCCGGGTTCAAATTCTGGGTCATGAGCTGTATGACCTTAGGCTATAATGATTTCACCTCTCTGAGCCTGTTGCCTCATGGATGAAATAAGAACACTGACGTCATAAGGTTAAGATTACAAACAGTAACATGAAAAGCACCTGGCATAAAGCAAGCACTCAACCAGTGTTCACTTGCCTTCTCCTTCCCCCCAGAAAGTGCCTAGGACACAGAACTGGGGTATCTTGCATGTTTTGTCCTCAGGTTGGTTTTCTTACACAAATCCATGTAATGTGGCCATCTTGGTCTGCTCTCCTACCAATTCTGTCGCTACAAATCCGACTCTATGTAGGCTGCTCTCACCACTGAAGCAGGAAAAACCCTGCTAACTGCCAGCTTAGGGACTTAGGGGTACTCATCTTGCATTTGTCTGCATGGGAGAAAACGCCAATCAGCCTTTGGGAAATGGCACAATGGGTCTCCAGCTGGTAGCAGGGAGAGCAGTGAAGGGGACAAAGGGAGAGATAGCGAATTCAGCATTTCCCAAGGACTGGTAGAGGCGCAGACAGTGCTCTGGGGGTGCAGGGATGGAGTGCGGGGGCATTGCACATGTAGGGAGCTCAGCTACATTACTGGGGACGCCAGGCACATAAAGGTCTCTGAGCTTTGGTTTCCTCAACCATAAAAAGGAGCAGAAAACATCTACATCAATATCTACATTGTTGTGATGATTAAATCAGATACTACATAGGGCAGTGTTCCATGAATATTCATTTTTCCTTCCTCCCTTCTCAGGAAGGAGGCAAAGGCCTCCAAAGAGGAGGAGACATATTTACACGACTGCCTTCTAGAAAATGGACGTGCAGAGATTTAATTGACGCAGAAAAAAACCAGCATTATCACTAGAGTTGGCTGCATCACATGAGCTATTCCCAAAGCACACATAATGAGCCACACGATGAAATGAAGTTTTCTGTGTGGTGGGCCGATGCCTAAAAAGCATCTGAGGAGATCAACATCAAGCTGCATCTTAGTTTCGTATTCCATGACCAAGAAATGAGTTGGAGGACAGCAGGAGATAGTTTCTGTTAGAGGGGCAAAGGCTACCCCACAGTTTTCCAAAAAAACAAATATAGGTGCATTTTATTTAAACAATGGGACAAACGTCAGAGAACATCCCCTGCAAATCCCCCACCCAAGAGCCCACTGACAGGAAGCAGGGCTGCAGGCCGTTCTGCTGCCCTATCTCCAACTGCACAAAACCCCTCACTGCCAGGGCCGGGCACCAACCTAACCCCTTGCTTGCCTGCTTCCCTGAGAAGAAGCAGCCATGGAATCAGGGCAGGGATGGCACAGGTAGAAAAGATGATGGAAACAACACCTGTGAATATACTCAGCATATCCTAGGAAGATAAAAACTGTCACGAGGACCAGAGGCCATCCCAGTCTTTTGTGGCCTCCTGGAGAAGCTGTGTTTGAGACCCGAGACTCTAGCTGGGATGGCTCCAGGGAGCAGGAGGCGTGCTCCTGAAAATAGGCCCTGAGGAAAGCATAGTGCCTGCAGAGGGACAGCCCCCAGCACCCTCCAGCAGGGCTCTAGACAGCTGAGCCCAATCCTGAGAGAGTCAAGAAGAGACGGAATGCTCAAGAAAGGAGACATTAAAAATTAAGAGAGAAAAGAAAGAAAAAAAAAGAAAGGGTCTGCTCCGAGGTTGAGGTATTATAGATAGATGTGGGGCCAGAGAAACCGGGTCCCAGGGAACACACATGCTGGGCGGTTTTATACTGATGAACTAAGAATCGTACACACAACCTTCCTGGGAGCCACCAGCAGTGCGCTGCAGGCCAAGGAACCAACCAGCTCCAAAGGCACTCCCTGAGCCTCGAAGGCAGCTCCTCTAACACCTCCCTTCCTCCCAAAGGGCTCCCAGCCCTGATGCCCCGCAGCCACCGCACACCATCAGCTTCCCATGTCAATATAGGAGCTCGTACAAGTCCACACATTTCAGCCCAAGATAGGTTACGTGGTTATAGAGTGTATAGCTTTACTGTTCCACTCAACCCCCTGGTCGCTGGTGGCTCCTGCAAGTCCCAAGTGGGGCAAGTAGCAAAGCGGGCAGGAGAGTGCTTTCTCAGATGGAAGAACACAGGCAGCTTCTCAGGCACTTGGTCTGGGTGGACGAGAGGCCAGGCTGCCCCAATCCCCTGCTCAGGGCCTCAGCAGCGGAACACCTTCACTCTGTTGTGTTCATCCAGGCCCAGCTGCACAAGACTCAAAGTAGCTGTTGGCTTGGGCGCTGAAGAGAAGAGATGTCTGGCCACATGGTGAAGGAAAACTGCAGTCACTGGGCATGGCCATGGGCCATAAAGGGTCAAAGGCTGAACAGGACCCTCCTCAGCCCCTCAGGGCACAAGCACAGGGAACCAGGTAAAAGGATACAACTTGGGGTCATTCTTGACATGGTCCAGCCACCTCCGGTTGGCCTCAATTATGCCCTGAAAGGTGGTGCTGCCCACCTCAGGGACTTGGGAATGGGAGTGCTGTAGGAGCCGGAGCTGCTCACTGGGAAGGAAGAAGACAGCATGGGCGGGGAGACAGGAGGCATGGGGGATGGGAGAGCCAGAGGATCCACAGAGGCCATCACATCTATAGCCTCCTCGCTCTTCCTCTCAGCTACCAGGGCAGTTTTTTCCAAGGCCTCTAGCAATTCAAAGCTTCAAAACAGCTGCCCCTCCAGAACAGTTCCCAAAAGGAAAGGCGGTTGATGCCCTCTACCCCCTTGCTGGGTGCTACTGATACAAGGCTCTGGGCTCCCACATCTGCCTGCTCCCGCCAACCTCATCAGCAAAGCACTCCCCTCTGTCAACTCAATCCTTGGCCAGTGTCAGCTCTCAAGCTGGCCAAAGGAATGGTGGAGGGGGTACTACACAGTTAGGGGCCTAAGGGAGCTGGGAGGAATACATTTGGCAAGGAATAAAATGAATGGAAAATTAATAATCAGTTTAAATAATTGCCCGTCTGTCTCCTCCACAGGGTGTCCCTCTCAGTCCAGATGTTGCTCAGCAGGACTTGGGGAAGAAGGGAGCCATAGGAAGCAAACAAGAGCTCAAGGGCAAAGACAAAGGCCAGACCTCCAGGACTGGTGGGGCTAGAGGGAAGGACGGGGGCCTGGTCCAACCAGGGGCTGTCTCCTCCCCATGGGGGGTTGGCGAGATAAGGCCAGCCCTTCCTCACTGGGACCCTGGCTGCGAAGGGCGCCTCAGACCCAGGCAAGTGGGGACAGCTCTGTGAACTAGAGCCCTGCTTGATTTCTTGAGGTAAGACCAGGAGGTCTGCTCCCCTTAGAGGTCCACCAGCCCAGGGGAGTGCAGTGAGCAGCTCAACTGAGGTTCCACCCCAACCAGCTCCCAGGGAGGCTCACCTGGCAGACACGTAACCCAGCCTGTTCTCCAGCGGGCCAGGGCCATTGCTGAGCAGCGGGATGCCAGCTGGAAGAGCATGGGGACAGGGCTCAGAAATGGGCCGCAGCCACCACCCTGCTCACCAGCACCTCTTGCCTCCCAAGAATAAACAATAAAAGGAAAAGGTTCAGTGGCTGGAGGCCAGAGACAGATGAGACACAGGAATGGTCCTACTTATTTTTAAAACTACTTTTAAATCTACTTTTCAATTTGAGTTAGGGCAGAATGAAGATATTTCGTTTTCCCTCAAATGCCTATGTTTTATGGCTTTTCATAATCCTCAGCAGGGCTGAGACCAGGGGACGCCACCTGGCTCAGAAGCAAAGAATTGGCCACACAGCCAAGAGGTTCCAAGCAGAATCCTGGAGTCACAGAGACATGGAGTCACAACTGAGTTTGTTACTCACTCACTGGGTACTCTGGAACATACTACTTAACCTCTCTGAAACTCAGTTTCCCCATCTGTAAAATGGGGATAAATAATTACTACCTCAGAGAATTATTACAAGAACTAAATGAAAAAATATATGTAAACTGGTTGGCCCATGATGTATTGTACAAGATGGTAGCTATTAAGATAATGACAACATGATCTTTTAGGTTCTGCTGAGCTCCAGAATCCCTAATAAAGGCCCCCAGTCAGCCAGGCTCCATCTAAACCATCCTGACCTATAGTACTTCTGGCTGCAGGGCCACCCGAAATGTCTCCTTCCCCAGGGACCCACAAGTGGAGTCAATGGAGCAATGGACTACGGCAACATTGGGGGAGGAGAGGCGGGGCAAAGGGATGCAAAAGAGGAGAGGAAAAAAGTAGCAGAAGAAAGAGGGTAGAAGAAAAGAAGGAAGGGGAGGCGGAAGCACGTGGGAAGGCTCCGCCCAAAGTGGGGCTTACATGGAAAATACTTGCGCCATTTCTCCAACAGGAAGTCATCCACTGTTTGGGCCACAGAGGAGGGGATACTGGGACCCGGCCCTGAATCCCAGGCCCATTGGGTGGACGTAGGCGTAGCGGACGATGAGGCTGAGAACCTGGCCAGGGAGCCATAGTAGGTGGTGGTGGGGGTGCTCTTGGAGGCCCGGGGAGGGAGGTGGGCTTGCGTGGAGGTGAGGAGTGGTGGCGGTGACTGAGAGTTGAGGCTGTCCACGATGCTAAGGACGCTGCTCAGCTGGCTGCTGATCTGCCGGAGGGAGTGGCTCAACTCATGGATATTGTGGAAGGCGAGAGTCGGGGTTGAGGCGACTGAAAGAAGAGGTGGATGGTGGCAAAGGACTCAAGCTCGGGACCCTGGACCATCTCCAGACACAGCTGGCAGGGCAGCACCCTACTGGCCACCCCTCCCTGCTTCTCCAGACAACAGCCCCTCAGACTTATGAGTGGGTCAGGGAATGGCACGGCTTCTGTGTTTCAGATAGTGCAGGTGAGAAGCTGGCCATGAGAAACAGGTTTCCAGGGCAAGGCCCTGGGTGAGGGTCCCAGGTACCCAGAGAGAAGGAAGGGGAGAGGGCCCTTCTGTCACATACGGGCCAGAGCAGCTGAGAGAGAACACCCACCCCAGGAGGCCCTGGGCAGGGCCAGGGGCCACACTGCAGAGTGCTCTGCAGCATTCAGAAGGCTTCCCTGACCTTTCAGCCCCATGTGCTGGCAAACCTAGATGTCCTGGCTCCTTCCCAGCATTGACTGAGCATCTAGTCCAGACACCGGCTCACAGATGCCTCTCTCTGCAGGGCTGAGGGAAGTAGGCTCTTTCTTCCACTTCGCAAGTTCCTCCCATTCCATGGATACCATGGTCCTCACCCCATGTCTCCCTGACTCACTCTTCTGCTGCCCCCACCACTCACTGTGAGGCAGGGAACAAGATTCGGAACTTTCACTGCTCAGGCTGTCCATGTCACTGAGGTCGAAGGTTACTGCCTTCTTGGTGGGGGCTCCTCCCAGACTGCCCTCATCTGAGGCCTGTGGGGTAGAGGCAGCAGTTATGACCAACCTGTATGACGTGCTTTCCACCCTTCCTCTTTCCTTCCTAGAAGTGGCTAGGACACTGAGCTAGGTTCCGCTGTATGTTTTGTCTCTAAGCTGGTTTTCTTACGCAAACCTGTGAAACATGGCCATCTCCACTTGTTCTCCTAGCAACACTGTTGCTATGAATTCAAGGCAGCATATAGGCTGTTACCCTTGTGATGTGTGGGGATTGAGGACTTGGTGAGTAGACTCTTCTGGGGCCCAGAGTTCCACCAGGCACCCCGGGGGAGGCAAATCACACAGGCTGCCCCACAGCAGGGTAGGAAAGAGACAAGGCTAAGCATATGTCCCAAATGCCTGAGACATAGGCAATAGTGCCATCAGGACCACACAGACCGCCACCTCCCTTCCCAGTAAGCTCTCCCTGCAGTGTGACTCCAGCTAAGCCTCCCCTTGCAATATCTAAGCCTCAGACATCCAGGAGAAAGTCCACAAGGTCCCAGAGCAGGTAGGAAAACCTCTCATGTGTGTCCATTCCTGACACCCTAGTCAAACCTCTCCTTAGGGACCAGGACAGGGTAAGGGCTAGGCACTCCTCTCAGGCACCTTTAGCAAGAGGTTCCAGGTATACTCAGGACCGTTTAGCACAGGTATCCAAACCCACAGCTGACTTCAACAAACTCAGAACTGAAGCCACTGCCACTTTCATCAGCCAGAAGACAAATGTACTGCCAATCTTGGGCCCTAGAGGCCCAACTCCCCCTGATGTAGGACCAAAGAACCCAACCGAATCCCAAGAATAGAAGAGGAAGGCCAGGGCCACACTGGGCTATGTGGCCATGGGGTTGCACCTCTTCCCAAAGAGAAGACTCCAGCTGATTCAGCGTCTCCTCTTTCTTCTTCAGTAGGTTGTGGCCTTTTCGCATGGCTGACTTCATCTCATCCAGGCGCCTGGTCTCCTGCAGCCAAGGAGAAAACAGGAGAAATGACTACCCACACAGACGCTGGAGTTCCAACCCTGCCATTTGGTGACTGGGTGATCTTGACCAAATGACTGTAGTCTGCTTTCTCATCTGGAAAAGAGAACTTGACTTTTCACAGTCAAGAGAATTACATAAGAGACAGTATGTCACATGCTTAACACCATGCCCACACCTTAAAAACTCTCTAATGGTTATTGTTAACTAAATGGTTATTATTATGATTATTGTTTTTACAAATGAAGTCTCACTGTCACCCAGGCTGGAGTGCAGTCGCGTGATCACAGCTCAATGCAGCCTCAATTGCCTGGGCTCAAGCAATCCTCCCACCTCAGCCTCCCAGTAGCTAGGACCACAGGTGTGTGCCACCACACCTAGCTAATTATTATTATTATTTTCTTTTTTTTGTAGAGACAGAGTCTTGCTATGCTGGCAAGACTGGCCTCAAACTCAAGTGATCCTCCAGCCTCAGCCTCCCAAAGCACTGGGATTACAGGGGTAAGCCACCGCATCAGCCACAAATGGTCATTATTATCACTGCTCCAATTATCATTACTCTCATCACCACCACCACCATGGTTGAGAGGAGTTAAGCAGAGCAATGACAGAGCCCGGGACAGCATGTATACAACCCTGGGAAGCTGCACCTCATCTGTTCCAGCCCCTTGCTCTCTGCTGATGCCAAGCGAGGCATAGGGGACATTGGGGCCTGAGCCCCTTACCAGTTCTGAGCACCATCGGATTTTTAAGGGCCCAGGTGATCCAAGAGAGCTCATTCTGCCAGGACCCTCAACTGGTCAAAGATCTCTAATCCCAACTAATAATAATAATAATGAAGCATCTGCCTTCTCACTGCAAATTAGGCTATCAGAGAAGCAGGGGCAGGTAAATAACTCAACGCCTTTGGCTAAGTGTGTTCAAAAGACTTCCATGCATGAATGAAGTCTTTAGTTGACAGGAGGGAAAGGCAAAGCACTGGGTTTGAAAGTACTAAACCTAAGTCATACTCTTCACCAGGAAAATGGGACTGTTACTACTGCCTTGTACATTATAAACAGTTATTGATATGGTTTGGCTCTGTGTCCCCACCCAAATCTCATCTTGACTTGTACTCCCATAATTCCCATGTGTTGTGGAAGGGACCTGGTGGGAGATAATTTGAATCATGGGGTCCATTTCCCTCATACTGTTCTTATATAGTGAATAAGTCTCACAAGATCTGATGGGTTTATCAGGGGTTTCCACTTTGCTTCTTCCTCATTTTTACTTGCTACCACCACGTAAGTGCCTTTTGCCTCCTGCCATGATTCTGAGGCTTCCCCAGAATCAGTTCCCCAGTGGAAGTATAAGTCAAATTAAACCTCTTTTTCTTCCCAGTTTCAGGCATGCCTTTATCCACAGCATGAAAATGGACTAATACAGTAAACTGGTACCAGGAGTGGGGTGTTACTGAAATGATACCCAAAACTGTGGAAGCAACTTTGGAACTGGGTAACAGGTAGAGGCTGGAACAGTTTGGTGGGCTCAGAGGAAGACAGGAAAATGTGGGAAAGTTTGGAACCTCTGAGAGACTTGTTGCATGGTTTTGACAAAAATGCTGACAGTTATATGAACAATAAGGTCCAGGTGGAGGTAGTCTCAGATGAAGATGAGGACCTTGTTGGGAACTGGAGAAAAAAGTGACTCTTGTTATGTTTTAGCAAAGAGACTGGCAGCATTTTGCCACTGCCCTAGAGATCTGTGGATCTTTGAACTTGAGAGAGATGATTTAGGGTATCTGGCAGAAGAAATATCTAAGCAGCAAAGTACTCAAAAGGTGACTTGGGTGCTGTTAAAAGCATTCTGTTTTAAAAGAGAAAGAATATAAAAGTTCAGAAAATTTGTAGCCTGATAATGCAGTAGAAAAGAAAAACCCTGGAATGGCTGGTAAGATGGCCAAATAGAAACAGCTCTGGTCTGCAGCGCCCAGCGAGATCAATGCAGAAAGCAGGTGATTTCTGCATTTCCAACTAAGGTACCCACCCAGCTCCTCTCACTGGGACTGGTTGACAGTGGGTGCAGTCCATGGAGGGTGAGCTGAAGCAGGGTGGGGTGCTGCTTCACCTGGGAAGCACAAGGGGTCAGGGAACTCCCTCCCCTAGCCAAGGGAAGCCATGAGGGACTATGCCATGAGGGGAAGTGCATTCTGGCCCAAACACTATGCTTTTCCCACAGTCTTTGCAACCCACAGACTAGAAGATTCCCTGGGATGCCTATGCCACTAGGGCCCTGGGTTTTAAGCATAAAACTGAGCAGCCACTTGGGCAGACACCTAACAAACAGCAGGAATTTTTTTTCATGCCCCAGTGGCACCTGGAATGCCAACAAGACAGAACCATTCACCCCCCCGGAAAGGGGGCTGAAGTCAGGAAGCCAAGTGGTCTTGCTCAGCAGATCCCACGCCCATAGAGCCCAGCAAGTTAAGATCCACTGGCTTAAAATTCTCACTACCAGCACAGCAGTCTGAAGTTGACCTGGGACACTCGAGCTTGGTAGGAGGAAAGGCATCTGCCATTACTGAGGCTTCAATAGGCAGTTTTCCCCTCACAGTGTAAACAAAGCTGCCCTCGAAGTTAAAACTGGGCAGAGCCTACTGCAGCGCCGTAAGGCCACTGTAGCCAGACTGCCTCTCTAGATTCCTCCTCTCTGGGCTGGTTCAACACACACAAATCAATAAACGTAATCCATCACATAAACAGAACCAATGACAAAAACCACGATTATGTCAATAGATGCAGAGAAAGCCTTTGACAAAATTCAACACCCCTTCATGCTAAAAACTCTCAATGAACTAGGTTTGATGGAACATATCTCAAAATAATAAGAGCTATTTATGACAAACCCACAGCCAATATCATGCTGAATGGGCAAAAACTGGAAGCATTCCCTTTGAAAACCAGCACAAGACAAAGATGCCCTCTCTTACCACTCCTATTCAACATAGTATTGGAAATTCTGGCCAGGGCAATCAGGCAAGAGAAAGAAAGAAAGCGTATTCAAATAGGAAGAGAGGAAGTCAAATTGTCTTTGTTTGTAGATGACATGATTGCATATTTAGAAAACCCTATGGTCTCAGCCCAAAAATCTCCTAAAGCTGATAAGCAACATCAGCGAAGTCTCAGGATACAAATTCACTGTGCAAAAATCACAAGCATTCCAAGCATTCCTATACACCAGTAATAGGCAAACAGAGAGCCACATCGTGAGTGAACTCCCATTCACAATTACTATGATGAGAATAAAATACCTAGGAATACAACTTACAAGAAATGTGAAGGACCCTTCAAGGAGAACTACAAACCACTGCTCGAGGAAATAAGAGAGGACACAAATGGAAAACATTCCATGTTCTAGGATAGGAATAGGAAGAATCAATATTGTGAAAACGGCCATACTGCCCAAAGTAATTTATAGATTCAATGCTATCCCCTTCAAGCTACCATGGACTTTCTTCACAGAATTAGAAAAATCTATTTTAAATTTCACATGGAACCAAAAAAGAGCCCGAATAGCCACGACAATCCTAAGGAAAAAAAAAAAAAAGCTGGAAGCATCACACTACCTGACTTCAAACTATACCACAAGGCTGCAGTAACCAAAACAGCATGGTACTGGTACCAAAACACATATATAGACCAATGGAACAGAACAGAGGCCTCAGAAATAATGCCATGCATCTACAACCATCTGGTCTTTGACAAACGTCACAAAAACAAGCAAAGGGAAAGGATCTCCAATTTAATAAATGATGTTGGGAAAACTGGCTAGCCATATGCAGAAAACTGAAACAGATCCCTTCCTTACACCTTATACAAAAATTATCTCAAGATGGATTAAAGACTTAAACATAAGACCTAAAACCATAAAAACCTTAGGAGAAAACCTAGACAATACCATTCAGGACATAGGCATGGGCAAAGACTTCATGACTAAAACACCAAAAGCAATGGCAACAAAAGCCAAAAGTGACAAATGGGATCTAATTAGCAGCAAAAGAAACTATCATCAGAGTGAACAGGCAACCTACAGAAAGGGAGAAAATTTCTGCAATCTATCCATCTGACAAAGGGCTAATAATATCCAGCATCTACAAGGAACTTAAATTTACAAAAAAAAAAAAAAAAACCCATCAAAAAGTGGACAAAGGATATGAACAGACACTTCTCAAAAGACCTTTATGCGGCCAACAAACATGAAAAAAACTCATTGCTGGTCATTAGAGAAATGCATATCAAAACCACAATGAGATACCATCTCACATCAGTTAGTATGTCGATCATTAAAAAGTCAAGAAACAACAGATGCTGATGTGGAAAAAGAGAAACACTTTTATACTGTTGGTGAGAGCGTAAATTAGTCAACCATTATGGAAGACATTGTCTTATGAAAGACAATGTGGTGATTCCTCAAGGATCTAGAACCAGAAATACCATTTGACCCAGCAATCCCATTACTTGGTATATATCCAAAGGATTATAAACCGTTCTAATATAAAGACACATGCACACGTATCTTTATTGCAGCACTATTCAGAATAGCAAAGACTTGGAACCAACCCAAAAAAGCCCATCAATGATAGACTAGATAAAGAAAATCTGGCACATATAAACCATGGAATACTATGCAACCATAAAAAAGGATGAAGCTGGAAACCATCATTCTCAGCAAACTAACACAAGAACAGAAAACCAAACACCACATGTTCTCACTCATAAGTGGGAGCTGAACAATGAGAATACATAGACACAGGGAGGGGAACATCACACAATGGGGCCTGTTGCAGGGGTGGGAGGGGCAGGGGAGGGATAGCATTAAGAGAAATACATAATGTAGATGATGGGTTGATGGGTGCAGCAAACCACCATGGCATGTGTATATCTGTGTAACAAACCTGCACATTCTGCACATGTATGCCAGAACTTAGAGTAAAAGAAAAGAAAAGAAAGAAAGGAGAAGAAAGAGAAGAGAAGAAAAAGGGAAGGGAGGGAAGGGGAGGGAAGGGGAGGGAAGGGGAGGGAAGGGGAGGAAGACCAACCCATTTTTTGAGGAGAAATTCAAGCTGGCTGCAGAAATTTACATAATTAACAAGGAGCCGAATGTTAAAATCCCCTAGACAATGAGGAAAATGTCTCCAGGACATGTCATAGGTCTTTATGGCAACCCCTCCCATCACAAACCCAGAGGCCTAGGAGAAAAAAATGGTTTTGTGGGCCAGGCCCAGGGTCCGCAAGCTGTGTGCAGCATAGGGATTTGGTGCCCTGTGTCCCAGCCACTCTAACCATTGTTAAAAGGGGGCAAGGTACAGCTCAGCCCATGGTTTCAGAGAGTGCAAGCCCCAAACCTTAGCAGCTTCCACATGGTGTTGAGCCTGTGGATGCAAACAAGTCAAGAATTGAGGTTTGGGAACCTCCACCTAGGTTTCAGAAGACGTACGGAAACACATGGATGCCCAGACAAAACTTTGCTGCAGGGGTGGGGCCCTCATGGAGAACCTCTGCTAGAGCATTGAAGAAGGGAAATGTGGGGTTGGAGCCTCCACACAGAGTCCCTACTGGGGCATCACCTAGTGGAGCTGTGAGAAGAGGGCCACCAACCACCAGACTCCAGAATGGTAGATCCATCAACAGCTTTCACTGTGCACCTCAAAAAGCTACAGACACTCATTACCAGCCTGTGGACGTGGCCAGGAGTGGGGTTATACCCTGCAAAGCCACAGGGGCGAAACTGTCTAAGACCATGAGAACATACCTCTTGCATCAGCATGACTTGGATGTGAGAGACAGAGTCAAAGGAAATCATTTTGGAGTTTTCAAATCTGACTGCCCCACTGGATTTCAGACTTACATGGGCCCTGTAACCCCTTTGTTTTGGCCAATTTCTCCCATTTGGGATGGCTATATTTACCCAATGCCTATATTCCCACTATATCTAGGAAGTAACTAGCTTTTGATTTTACAGGCTCACAGGCAGAAGAGACTTGCCTTGTCTCAGGTGACACCTTGGACTGTGGACTTTTGGGTTAATGTTGAAATGAGTTAAAACTTTGGGGGACTGCTGGGAGGGCATGATTGGTTTTGAAACATGAGGACATGAGATTTGGAGGGGTCAGGGGTGGGATGATATGGTTTGACTGTGTGTCTCTACCCAAATTTCATCTTGTACTCCCATAATTCCCACATGTTGTGGAAGGGACCTGGTGGGAGATAATCTGAATTATGGGGGCCATTTCCCCCATACTGTTCTCATGATAATGAATAAGTCTCACAAGATCCTGACAGGTTTATCATGGGTTTCTGCTTTTGCTTCTTTCTCATGACACCACCATGTAAGAAGTGCCTTTCGCCTCCTGCCATGATTCTGAGGCCTCCCCAGCCATGAGAAACTGTAAGTCCAATTAAATCTCTTTTTCTTCCCAGTCTCAGGCATGTCTTTATCAGCAGCGTGAAAACAGACTAATATAGTTATCATGAGGTTCAAATGATTTACTACTAGAAAAGGTGTTTGCATGCTATGCATGACCATGTAAATATAAGTGACCCAGGACAAAGGTGGCCACTCTCATGGAGTCCTGAGGATGAGAAACTGAAGGGGAGCCCAGAGGAATGTTTTGCTGACTCCCCCACCCCCACCCGCACAGGGCTGGTAGGCTCTTCCCAAGGCTCCTGACCTTCTCCAGGTTCTTGTGCATATCTTCCAGGGCCTTGATGTCTGGGGGGTCTTTGGCCACCTCCTGCGCACTGGCCAGCTCACGGCGCCAATGCTGCTGGGCAGCTTTCAGAGCTGTCTGCCGCCTCCGCATGGAGCGTGTCTGCTGCACCAGGAATTCCTTGGCACTACGGAGGGCTACCCCCTCAGCAGAGAGGTAGTGCAGGACATTGTGGGAGGATAGGCTGGGGCAGGAGAGTAAAAGAAGGAAAACAGAAGCCTCTAAGAACTCGGCTCTGGGTCACATAGCCACTTCCCCAGAAGATGCCCACCCTGAGCACAAACCGGAGCTGCTGGGCTGGGGCTGGGCAGTGTGTGTGCAGGGATGCCACTGTTCAATACCCACAGTGTGCAGTACCTGGAACTGACAGTGCCCCCACCCTGACTCTGAGAGGGACCGTGCCTTAGGGCCTCCAGATAGATGACCAGACACTTCCAGCAATCTGCTTCTCCACTACAGAAGAATGCCATGTCAAAGGTCACAGTAGGCAGTTTCTTGGCTTGCCAGAGAGAATTCCTTAATCCTCCATAGCCTTCCCCATGAACCAAGTCCTACTGGTGATCACTGTCTGCTCACTTCAGCTCACCCAAGCTCTAGGATGCAGGTACTCACTTACCCCTTCATGGTACCCTAACCTGAAATAAGACAGGCTATGGGAACTCACCTGTCCAAGTGTAAGTCCTCCTTGCTCTGGGAGAAAGAAGAAGACACCTCTTTGGCCTGGTTCTAGGGACACATGGTAAAAAAGTCCACTGAGTGTAGCTAAAGCAGACACCCTGCAGGCTTGAGAGACCCCAAAGCCCCTCCCAGTGGCCTAGATAAGAAAATGGCTCTCCAGCTGCCAGGCACTGTTTACTTATAGATATCATCTGACTGGTGGACATGACTGGAAGCTGGGGATGATAAGAACAGACCCACAGAGAACAGAGCCAGCCCCTCCTGTGGCCTTGGCCCCACTTATACTCCTCCCCTCCTGGGGCTCCATTCCTCTTGATAACCCGTCCCCTCTGGAAGTACTCCCCTGATGCCTAGCCCTTCCCAATGCCCCATCCCGCTCCTGGTGCCCCACCCCCCAGGCCCCAGCTCACTGTCCCAAGGGACTTTCTCAGGTCCTCAATGTGGAGATCTGGCTCAAACTGTGGAGCAGCATTACTTTCCTCAACTGTCACCTCTCTCAACAGGTGCTGCTTCTTCTGAGCTTCAGCCTCCAGACTGCTGTGGAGGGAAAGGGGAATGAGAGGCAGCGGGGCCGTTGGGTGTGGTGGTGAAGATGGGGTCTGACGAAGTGAGCCAGAACCATCTCCATCCCCTCACTCCCATCTGTCAAAGTCCCTAAGGAAGGGCTGAGGCACAAGCAATAGCACCAGGGATCCCCTGCTTTTCACAGTATCTTAACAACACCAACTCTCTAACAAAAAGTAGCCACAGGCTCTTCTGCCTAGCTCCCAAGCTGGGACTCCACCTCTCCCTATTAATTGGGCCATGACACAAGCAGCAGAGGTCAGAGGGCGGGCAGGAGGCAGCCAGCAGGGCTAAGCACAGGGTGCCCACACTACCTGATGTGTTTCTGCAGTTGCTGGCTCTGGGCCTGCAGCAGATCTACTTGGGACTCCAGCTCCAACTTGCAGGCCTGCAGCTCATCGAGAATTTTCCGGAGCTGCTGGTTTAACTGCAACAGGTGGGTGTGCTCCTTCTGTGCCTCCTCCAGGTGCTGATGGGTGGCTGTGGCTTCCTAGGGGCAGAAGGAAAGATAGAGGCACCCAGAGACAGCACAGAGAACAGGCAGCACTAGAGGGTAGGGAAGAAAGAAGGGGATGGGCTGGGGATGAACTCAGAGTCACTGAAGTCACTACCTCTGAGGTCAGGAGTTCTGCAGCCTCCTGTCCCACCACAGCCTCACTGAGTTCCCAAGTGGGATCCACGGAGTGGCACTATTTGTGGAATACTGGCCAACAGAGTTTGCAACACCAGTGCCCAACAGATCAGATGAATAAAATGTGAGGAACAGGGAGAATAAAGACAGGGAACGGAGGAAAAACAGGAGGGAAGACAAAAGAGGGAGACAAACCTCACTCTTGAGAGCAACCTGCCTCTGTACATCAAGCAGCTGCTGCTTGTCCCTCCGGGCGGTCTCCTCCTTGCAGGAAAGAGACAGAATTTTCTGTCTGACTGCAGATCCCAGGTCTGAGGGGCAGGGCCTGTCCTCTGCTAGAGGAGCTATGACTCAGGTCAAGGGCCCCTGCAGATCCCTCACCTGGACCTCCAGCTGAGCCAATCTGGCCTTGACATCTTTAGCTCTGGTTTCAAGTTCCATCTCTAAATCGTGGAGCTTCCTTTCCTGCCCAGAAAGAGAAAGACATAAGCAGAGAAAGAGTGTAAGGCATTAGCTGAGGGGCAGGAGGGGGTTCCAGAACCCACCATGCCACACCGCAACCTCAACTCTGGGCTCAGGCTTCCTCCCTGTGTGCCCCTGCAGCCTCTCAGGAAGGCACCACACCTTGTTTATTCCTGCTGGGGCAAGGAGACACGAAGGTGTCAACCACAATGCCTTACAGGGGCCCACCTCTAGTTCTAATCCTGGGTGTGTTCCCTGGCCCAGAAAACAAAGGAGCAAGGATGCCCCAGTTTGAGGATGGCCAATGAGAGACTCCCACTCCAGAAGCTTTCAGGCTCCATCCTACTGGGGCCACCGGTGTCTGCTCCCAGCACCCTCCTGCTGTGCATGGAGGGGTCACAGTGGGCTCACCCTGCCCCAAGCCCCTCACCTGCTCCCTGTGCCGGCGCCGCAAGTCCTCAAGACGGTTGTGTTGCTCCTGCCTCACGGTCTCCAATTCTCGCTCATGGGCCCTCTGCAGGCGCTCCAGCTCTCCCGTCAGGTGCCCCAGGAGCTCAGCCCGCAGCTTTCTCTCCTGCAAGGAGGGTGGGCCCACCAGTGGGAAACTGCAGCAGCCCCTTCCACCACAAAAGTCATAGCTCCGCCAGCCCTGCAGCCTTGAATCAGTAAGATCAGGGACACCATCAGCTCCCGAAAGCCTGCTCTTGGAGAAGAGGAGGGCTACAAGCACGTCACCAGCCCTGGCCCCCGCAAGCCTGCAGCCCTCTACAGCTGAAGCAGAGGCTGGCCAGACACCATGACGGAATCCCTCTCTGGCTCTCCTATGACTCCACTATATACAACTTTTCCTCCTTAAGGAACAAGAGGTCACTGATAAATTATCAATATTCTTCAGCAAGGTCATAATTGGTTGGGAAAGGGGTGTGGCAAATTTTATCACAAGATGGCTATTTCTGCCCTGGGAAAGATCCTACAAAGAGTCTAGGATATTGGTTCCAGTTACTGGAGCAGTAGCATTAATGCCCTTCAGGGGCCCAGCTATGGGCTACAGTCAGCCACTCTCCACCCACCCACCGTTCACCCTCAATGTGAGCAAGCCAGGCCAGCTTGGGTCCACTCAAGTCGCCGAACTTTCCCACCTTAAGGCCAAAGGCTTTAAATGGGGAGAATTTCAGTATGATTTGGCTCTTTCCAGTCTATTTCTTGGTGTCCTGAGATGTTGAGGAATCCTGGTGATGTGTGTTGCAGGGAGGAAACTCTCCAGTTTTTGGAGAGTTTGGAGTCGAATGGCCTGGGCTTGAATCCTAGCTCTACTACTTATTAGCTGGTTGTAATCTTGGGAAGCTACTTAAACTCTCCAGGTCTCAGTGTCCTCATCTTTAAAAGGGAGATAACGATAGATCCTTCCTAGGGACAGTGTGAGGACTAAATGAGATGAAATAGATAAAGAGCTCAGAACAGTTCCTGGCACACAGTATAAGCTCAGTGTATGGAGGTTCTTTTTAGCATCAGCAGAAAGTGCAGCCTGCCTGATAAAAGAGGAAATGCCCCTCATTAGGAGGAGGTTTTTCTCATGCTTTAATAAAAAAGGCAGAAAACATCATTGTGACAGGGTATCAGGGGAGAAAACCTCCCATAATCCCTGACCACAGTTTATCCCCTTCCTCTCCCTGACAGCCAGGTGGGAAGGACCCCAAGGTATGTGTGCGTGTGCATGCTACCTCAGCTTCATACTGCTCTCTGGCCTTAGCCATCACTTGGTGGTGCTCCTCCTTCATCTTGTCCAGCCTCCTCTCATGCTCCTCTTCCACTTCCTGGCGCTTCTCTCGCAGAAGACTGCTAAGCTGCAGGGGAGACGGCAGGAATGCAGCATGCAGAACCGAGGTGGACCAGCACTCAGGGCTGGTGCTGAGGGTCGTACACACATTTCCCCAGTCTCTCCCAACATACAGAACACATGGTCAGCACACAGCCATACCCCCAACACCTCCTCCCCACATTATATAGGGGCATCAGACTGGAGGAGTACCTGGCTTCAAGGGAACCAAGGCATAAAAATGGAACCAGAAAAACTAATCCCAGCTGAGCCATCCAAAGCAAACTGGAGGCCACTGAGGCTAGGAAAGCTCAGTAGACCATAAGAGAGTCCACAACAGGTGCACACAAATGTGGAAGACAGAGTGGCGCTCACCTCTTGCTCATACTCAATCATGTGATAAGCCTTCTGGTGAACTCTGTGCTCCACCTGCCCAAGGCACTTCTGCAGCTGGGTCTCCTCTTTCTGTTGAGCTTCCTCTATCTTCTTCTGGAGGCTAGAGACCACCTGAGGAGGCCCCCGCACACACAGGGGAGTGTGACCCTCAGAGAGACTATACAGCTGCTGTGCTGGGATGCATTCTGAGGATCTGGCATCCATCCCCAGGGGCTGGAGGGAGAGAGAAGCTCACTGCCTAGTGACCAGGGATGGGGCTGAGTTCTGCTAACCAGCCAAGAAGGGGGCCCAGGATGCTGCATCTCACCTCCTGGTGCTTGGCCTCCAATGAGGAGCAGAGCCGCTCCAGCTCAGCACTGTGCTCCTTCTCCAACCTTGCCACCGCCTGGGGAGGAGCAAAGGGACTGAGGGAAGCTGGCCAGGTACTGACCATGGCAGGAGGCAGAGCCAGGAAGACTCCTGACCCCCAACCCCTCGAGATCAGGGCCAAGAGGAAGCACAAGGAAGCACAGCACATCTTTGCTCCTCCGAAACAACTCAGCCCCTGACAACTTGCAAATGAACAGAACATGAAGGCCAGGAGAGGGGCATTTTAGTAAGTCTCGGCTCTCTGCTCCCACCCTCTGCCTTTGGACTAGGCCACAGGTCCACAGAAGGCACTCATGCTGCTAAATAAGATCAAAGCCAGGGGACCGAGTTAGATGCTGTCATTAAGTCAGGCCATGTAGAACTTTCTTTTTATCTTGGTGAGGTGCAAAGCTTCAGCTATTAGACACAGGAAAAACTACAGCAAGAGTGGGCAACTCCACTGTACTGCAAGTGCTCAGCAAGACTGTGCTAAAACCTTCAGAGGCTCCATGTGACTGGAGTAGAGGGAGTACGGACAGAGAATCCCTGCTATGTTGCCAGCCTCTGATCCTAAGAAAGGAGAGGAAAGTGGGGAGTGAGGCCCTTGCAGCTGCCCCTCAGAGACAGGGAGGGAGAGAGCGCTCTTAAAACATCTGGTCTGACTGAAGCTCTTTCAGCGGTGAACCTCCTCAAATCCACACGACACTCCCCCTCAAGCCTCTGATGGCTCCCTGCTTGACAACCTCCAGCCACCACCGCCATCCAGCCTGACCCTGCAGGGGCCTCGGGACACCTCCTGCATCCTCTGCCCTGCCACGGAGAGCAGGGCAAGCTCTTCCCCTGAGCTGATTCAGTCTATATGAAGTAATGGGCCCACGCAGTCAGCTCGTCATTTCCCATGCCTGTCTGTGAGAGACCTACTTTCTGCCCGGCTCCACAACCTGCACGCCCACCCGAGGCTTGCCCTTCCTCTCCCTGTGCAGTCGGTCCCTCCTCAGGCAGCCCAGACACATGTCAGAGGGTGAGGTCCCCACTTGACTGGCTCACTTCTTTCCTCTCTCCTTCCAGCTGCTCCCTCAGCTGCTGCAGAGCCTTCTCCTTTACAGTGTTCAGAGCAGCCTGCTCACTCTTCTCCAAAGCCTCCATCTCTTCCTTGAGCCGCTCCAGCATTTGCCTGTTTTTCTCTTCCAAGGCGGCCCTCTCAGCCTGCTGTTGAGACTCCAGCTCTTCTCTCAGCTTCTGCAGGGAAGCCTCTTGCTCAGCCCTGGGTGGAAAGAGTGGAATGGGGATGGGCCTGTGCACCCTGGGTCCCCTCCATGGGGCTGGGCAGCTCACAGGTAAGCACACACTTACCTGATGTGGTCCTCATCTGCTTGTGCACTGGACTGGACCTGGGCTCGGAGCCAGGATAGCCTCTGGCTTTCCTCCTCTCTCATCCGGGCCTCCTCCTCCTCAGTGGCTTTCTGCAGCTGCTCCTTTAAGGAACTGAGATGGAAAGGAAAGGCTTTGTCAGAGAAACCACAAAGGTCTTTCTTCTATTCATAATCTCTGGCTCTCAACCTCCAATAGCCCTGCTGCCTGCCTAAGAAATTTCCTAAATCTTTTTTTTTTTTTTTTTTTTTTTCCTTTTTGGAGACAGGTTCTTGCTCTGTTGTCCAGGCTGGAATGCAGTGGTGTGATCATGGCTTACTGTAGCCTTAAACTCCTGGGCTTAAGCAAGCCTCTCACCTCAGCCTCCCATGTAGTTAGGACCATAGGCATGCACCACCAAACCCAGCTAATTGTTGAGATGGAGTCTCGGTGTTTTGCCCAGGCTGGTCTCAAACTCCTGGGCTCAAGTGATCCTTCAGCCTCGGCCTCCCAAAACACTGAGATTAGAGTCATGAGCCACTGTGCCCAGTCAAAGCTTCCTAAATCTTAAAGATAAGTCTGACCTCAGCCTCTGGATCCATGGCTGTCTCTCATAATACCTCCCAGGATCACAAGGAGACCATGAACTCCCCTTTGCTTCAAGAAGCAATCTACTGGCTGGGCGCAGTGGCTCACGCCTGTATTCCCAGAACTTTAGGAGGCTGAGGCAGGTGGATCACCTGAGGTTAGGAGTTTGAGACCAGCCTGGCCATAATGGCAAAACCCCATCTCTACTAAAAATACAAAAATTAGCCAGGTGTGTTAGTACACACCTGTAGTCCCAGCTACTTGGGAGGCTGAGACAGGAGACTTGCTGGCTAAGACAGGAGAAATCCTGGGAGGCAGAAATTGCAGTGAGCAGAGATCACACCACTGCATTACACTCCAACCTGGGCAACAGAGCAACACTATGTCTCCAAAAAAGAAAAAAAAAAAAAAAAAAGATCAAGCTACAGGGCTTCTGGGTTTTAGTACAGCACTTCTTCCAAAGGCTCTCCTCTGTCAACACCCTCACCTCCACATGGCACTCACTCAAGGATAGCTATAGATGCCAACTTGATTCCACATTCTTTTTACTCTGACAAGACTCTGTTCTAGGCACATCAGCTGAATCACCATCCCTCCATTCTACCACATTCTTCCTTGCCTCTTCGCCTTTGATCTTGCTAGTTCCTCTGCCACGAATTCCCTTTTCTATCTGGCAAACCAATATTCATTGTTCAACACCCAGCTCCCTCTCTGGGAAGTCTTTCCAACTCCCTCCCAAGTTCATCAATTCTGTTCCCATCACTTTACATGTGGTCCTGTTTTTTTTGTTTGTTTGTTTGTTTGTTTGAGACAGAGTCTTACTCTGTCGCCAGGCTGAAGTGTAGTGGCAGAATCTCAGCTCACTGCAACCTCCACCTCCTGGGTTCAAGTGATTCCCCTGCCTCAGCCTCCCGAGTAGCTGGGACTACAGGCGTGAGCCACTGCGCCCAGCCCAGTTTACACGTGGACCTTTCTTATCCCATGCTACTCTGCACCATGCATCACATGGCATCATGATTCATCTTCTATATCTCTGTTTTTCCTTGCAAGTCTGGGTTTCTCAACAGAAAGAATCTTCTCTTAAAATCTGTTCTATCCCAGGTACCACACACAGTAGCTGACATAAAGTAGGTGCTTAAAAAATTAACTGAATTTGAACAGCATCACCTAGCCCCAAACTATAAGCAAGCCGTGATGTCCACAAAAGGTTATCTTATTCATAGACCAACAGCAGTGGCCACTTCATCCTAAGCAGACATCCCCCTCCTTCCACAAACCACATCCTTTTCAGGTAACTCCTCTCACAGCCCCACATGACCAGGGGATGCATGCTGTGAACTCAGAGAATTCTAGCCTAGGAAAACCATGATTTGGAAAACAAATCCTTTGAAAAGCTTCTGCACCAAATTCTAAAGCCAAAAAAAGATTTACGATTTTTTTTTTTTTTTTGAGACGGAGTTTCACTCTTGTTACCCAGGCTGGAATGCAATGGCGCGATCTCGGCTCACCGCAACCTCCGCCTCCTGGGTTCAGGCAATTCTCCTGCCTCAGCCTCCCGAGTAGCTGGGATTACAGGCACACGCCACCATGCCCAGCTAATTTTTCGTATTTTTAGTAGAGACGGGGTTTCACCATGTTGACCAGGATGGTCTCGATCTGTTGACCTCGTGATCCACCCGCCTCGGCCTCCCAAAGTGCTGGGATTACAGGCGTGAGCCACCGCACCTGGCCAGGATTCTTTCCTATTTCAAAATACCAACACCATGACTTTCTTCCATTAAGAGAGGAAATTTGAATTAAGTAAAAATCCTTCCTTCTAGATTCCCCAGAAACCCTTTCTCTTTGCCCTATGACTAAATTTTATACACAGCAACACAATGTTAGAACTGGCAGGGACTTTAGAGGTTTTAAGTGCAATCCCCTCATTTTACAGTAAAAGAAGCTAAGGGCCAGCCTGCCTGCCTTCTCATTCCAGAAATATTTGTTACAAGATCAGCTATGGATTCCAAAAATTTCTACTACATGGAAGTTCCCAGCAGAGGGAAAGAGAGCCCATTCCTCAGAAAGGCTTGGTCAACACAGAAACAGGTTCTGGTGATAAACTATTTTGAAGAAAGCCAGGCAAGGCACTGTCCACAGAGAAATCACTTAGTTAAGACTGCCTGAATACGCATTGATTTCGAGTGAAAATAAAAGCAATTGCTACCATTTGTTCAGCAACTACTGTGTTCCAGGCCGTGAATCAAGACACTTCGGGCATGCCAGTCTTCCCTACAATCTAAGAGGGCCTCTGGAGTCAGGGGCCTTAGGAGAGGAATGGAAAGCACAGTCAGCCAAGCTCAGGGAAACCAGGAAGAGGGGAGGAGACTGGTGGGGTGATGGGAACACACCGCCAGGATTTCCTCCAAGGCGCTGCACCTTAAGGTGAGTCACATCCTTGGGTGGGCCCCTGACCCAATTCTCAGTTGGCTGGAAGAGGAGGAGGCTAAGAGGGCAGAGGTGTCTGTTCTTTGGGATGCTCCCTGGTGGAAGACCCACAAGGAAGTGATACAAGGACAGACCCTGGGTCAGTGGTTCCTGTGCTGGGCTCATGAGAGATTGCTCCGACCTTCCCAGTACTTGTATGTTGGTTTTATTTTCTCTAAATTAAGTGTAAACATTTTATATGTACTTTTCAAGGTATCATCTAAAAATAACAGTTTTCTACCACTTTTGGATGTTCTGTACAAGAGCACAAGACTTAGCCTTTAGTTAAATTGCCAAGAAAATGAAATATGTGAACACCTTTTTGTAGTGCCTTTCCCATCCTGGGACTGTGACAGATGGCTCATTAACAGCTTACTATCCATTCTCCCTTTCTTCCTTACAAACAGAACCCTGTTTTTATTCCACTGGGTAAAGAAGTCAGCTAAAGGACTACATTTCCCAGTGTTCTCTGCATCTAGGTGTAACCAGTGAGATATGAGCAGAAATTGTTGGGTAAAATTTCCCAACTTTAGTTGGTCTTGGTAGAACAATGGGCATCCCAGTGGTCCCCAGTCTGAGAGGGAATCACTAGCTCCTTACATCCCTGAAAGGCCTGGGGAGTGTGCCTAAGCGGAAGGGCAGGACCTGAGAGATTTCTCTTTCTGCTGGTGAAGCCAGAGGATATCCTCTTCCTCTTCTTGGCACAGCTTCTCCAGCAGTTGCTCCATCTTCTCTTGCTTCAATTCCAGCAGGTGCCTCTGGTCTTGCTCGAGTACTTGGGCCACTGCCTCTTCCATAGTCTTTACAGCAGCCTCTGAGAGCTGCTCTGGGGGTGCCACAGGCTCTGTGGATCGCCTACCATGGGTGGAGAATGGCACATCATCACAGTGTTAACATCCACCCACCTCTGGCATCAAGGTTTGAGAGGACATAGAACATCACATATGGAATACTAATAGAGGGCCCACAATCAGGAGTCAGTCAGGTCAACCAAGGTCAGGCAAGAGATACAGTCAACACTTCTTCCATAGGACAAGCCCCACTGTGGCTATTTAAGGCTTTAAGAGCGTAGGGAGAAGGGTGGCCCACAGCAGGCTCTCAGCAGACTTAGGAGGTTGTGGCCCAAGGTCAAAATATGAAGTTTCAGCTCAAGATCTGGCAGCAGCAGGAAGAGAGTAAAGCTCTGTCCCTAATGGATTCCTTCCTAGAATGGCTCATAGCCGCATTACCACCTCCCCACTAGAGCTCTGCCTGCTGCTTAAGGCTCATGCCAGCAATTTGGGAACAGTCCCCAGAGACTGCTTTCTGCCTCCCAAACTGAGCAGTGGCCAATGTATATGGGTCCACAAGAGAAGCAGCAGCAGGTCTCCTAGCTCTGAGAACTACAACAGCCCAGAAAGGCCCAGGAATAGGAAACTCCCGTATCATACCACCAAGGGGGCCAGAAGGAGATGCTTCCCTAAGCCAGAAAAAATGTAGCAAGCGTGCACATGAGTGCCATGTTCCCCGTCTCCCCATGAGGGCATGTTTCCACCTGCTTCAAGTTAATTAAATGTTTAGAAAGAAGTAAAAAAAATTCAGAGCTAACCTGGATGCACAGGAGGTGGTGAAATCAGGAATAATGGTATCTATTAAAAAGATATATATGAAGTAATAAAGACTGTTATTTTGCTTGTTTTCTGGTTCTTGAAGGAAATGCTCAAAGAGGAATCCGACAATATTCTGAGCAGTGAAAGCATGAGCAGGATAAAGCATTGTGCCTCCTAAGAGTGACTTTCCTAAAGGCCAGAACGTGTCTGCACTTCCAGGTCCCTCAATCTCATGTTGGAAATTGGTCTCGCCACACACCCTCCTCACACAGTACTCAGGCTGATGCAGGCCCAGCACAGTGGCTCAGTCAACCTAAGTGGAAAGTGTGGGCATAACCCAAAACAAAAAGGCCTGAGCAAGAGTCCAACAGGGGACCCAGTCCTCCCTGCTGGGGACTCAGAACCCCTGCTCCCTCCAGCTCGAGCCCCACTGAAGATGGAAAGCAGTAGGAAGGATCAGATTAGAACAGTAGAGGAAAACATGGACTTACGAATCCCATTGCAGCACCTTGAGACTAGAGAGAGAAGGAAGACAGGACAGGCTACTGTCATCTCTAAATTACCATAAAGACCTTCCCTTTCCCCTTTCTTAAAATCATAACTCAGACCAGAAACAATCTTGAGCTCTGCCTGCAATTGTTTTGTGCTCCCAACTCCGTCTCCTTCCTTCCAAAGCCTGGCTTCCTCTCAGTCCCCTGACATAGCCCAACTGTGGCAGATGTAAGAGATGTGGCTGCCACCTCCTCTGAGAATCCTGCCCTCAGAAGGCGCCTTCCCCCACAGCTCTCTGCCTCATCAACCCTCCAACTCATTTCCAACCTTGGCTGAAAACATCTTTTTTCCCTGAGATGGTACCTTTTAATGTCTCTCTCCTGCAGGCTGCACAGCTATGTGGAGCCCTAGGGACAGATGCTGTGTGAAGATGGGGCATCAAACCACGTGGGGCGTGTACCCAGGCTGTGCGCACCAGTGAGCTTGCACAGAGGCAAGCTGGGCTGTCTGTCAGTGGACCTCTTCTCCCTCACCCAGTTTTAAAGATCTGGTAGTTCAAACTCCTAGCTTAGGTCCAAGGCACTAAACAATGCCTGAAAGACCTGTGACGTGATTGGGAAGTTGAGGACTCCAAGGGAAAAAACAGCTCCTATTTCTAGGCCAACTCCTCATGTATCAGAATCAGTGGGACCTAGTTTCCTACACTGGGTGACAAAGGGGAGGCTCTGCAGGAACATAATCATTCCAGGCTGGCCACCAAGTAGCTCAAATTTACCTGAGAGAAAGCAAGAAGGGAAGCCAGGGAGAGAGGGGGAAGTGAGAGAGCGGAGGGCTGGGAAATAGCACCTAGAAACACCAAAATGGTTTTCATGGTACTACCACAAAAGAACATCTCCTCTCATACTCAACTTGGTGTTCTGATTCCTTTATCCTCTTCTCTGAAAACCCTCAGGAAGGATGCTGGCATGACAAGGGGAGGATCTTGCTGTTTCCTAGTCCTGGCCTTGGCCAGTTGGCCAGAAAGCATTCAGTGAGTGACACGTGCTGCCTCCTGGCCCTACCTGCTCCCTCTAGCCTGCCCTCTTCTCCTAACCCTTCGGATCCAGCTTGACTACACCTTTGGAAGCTGGAAGACACAGAACTACTCCCACAAAACCTAGATAACCCATCCATTCCTAACGTAGCTGTAAAGATTAATAACAAGGACGTGATGGGGCTTAAACAGACTCAGGAAAGGAACAGAAGGCATCTCCTAAGGGGATGGTGTAAACTGAGACTGCATGGTCAAGCATCTCTGAGACCCTAGCAGGGCAGCCTCACTGGGATGGCAGGAGAAACACAAGGGAAGGGAATGAATCAGCCAACGCAGCCGGGGAGGAGACAGGGAAGCCGAGGCCCCAACTGAGCCCTGCTGCCTCTAAAGGTCCTGGGAAGACACCCCCCTGACCTCTGTCCAATCTTCTTCTCTCTGAACTACATCCACCTCCTGTCCTCAAAGAAAGCATCCTGAACTGGCTGACCACAGCCACCAAGGAGATAGGAAAGCTGTGTAATTCCTCCAGGTCACAGTTTTCATTGTAGGATGTATCAGCATCTGAAAAACGTGACCACCCCTTCCCTACACCACTCTTGCAATGTTATGGTGACAACATGAAATCCTGAGCTCACCAGCTCTCAGTGAGTAAAGTGTGCATGAACTTCCTGTGAGTAATGTGTGCATGAACCCGTCTCTGCTTACCAGTCAGTCCCAAATCCTTTAGACCTGCTCAGTTCACAGAAGGGAAAGTGTTTAAGTCCTGACCTTTATCTTTCTCCATGCAGAGAAAAGGAACAGTGGCTGCAGATTAAAGTCAGAAGTCTAGGGCTCTAGTGACTAGAATCTAGTTTTGGTTTTTTGTTTTTTTTTTTTTTTGAGACAGAGTTTTGCTCTTGTTGCCCAGGTTGGAGTGCAGTGGCACAATCTAAGCCCACTGCAACCTCTGCCTCCCAGGTTCAAGCGATTCTCCTGCCTCTGCCTCCCAAGTAGCTGGGATTATAGGTGCCTGCGACCATGCTCAAGCTAATTTTTTTATTATTAGTAGAGACAGGGTTTTGCCATGTTGGCCAGGCTGGTCTCGAACTCCTGACCTCAGGTGAGCCACCTGCCTCGGCCTCCCAAAGTGCTGGGATTACAGACCATGCCCTGCCTAGAATCTAGTTCTAATTCTGCCGCTGACTAGCAATGTGGCCTTAGACAAATTCCTTCACTTCTCTGAGCCTCTGTTTCCTCACCTGAAAAATGGGTAGGAAGGGGAAGGGTGAGAATGGAAGGAGAAAAGCTAAATGATTTCTAAATTTTAGAAGCACTTGGTGAAACAACATAGGTGAATCACAAAAACACATTGAGTTTTGAGTACAAGCACCAAAGATCAATCCTGTATACTGTATAATTCCATTTATGTGAAATGGAGAACTGGAAAAATGACCCTTTGGTCAGAACTTGGAACTCAGAGGCCAGAACAGTGAAGAAAGACCTGGGATGGGTGGGTTGAGAGGGGCATGAGGAAATGTCTTCAAGGGCTGGAGACATTCCATGTCTGAGCGGCCATTATACAGTGTGCACAGATGCAAATCTCCACTGAATTGTACACTTCATGTCTGTGTACTGTGGTATATATACAAACCTTAACAACATTTGTAAAGAGAAAAACAGTACTTGGTAGACAGGAAACATGATTTAGCAAGCTCAGCAAATGAGCTGGGAAGTACCAACCATCCGTCCTTGTATCTCAAGTCCTGACCAGGAGCCCCAGGGGCAGAAGCTAACCCCACATTAAGGATTAGTCACGCCTGCGTGGGGCTCTTGAGGCCACACACAGAGCACCAAGGATATGCTCAATCTCCCCTACACTCTAACCCCTGGTCAGAGCCAGTGCCCCGCTTTCCACCACCCAAGAGTGAATAGGCATGGAAGCAGCCCACACACAGTGGAGGACAGGGACAGACATGTAAAACTGGCCCTTACACCTCTGGAGAGACTGGCGGGGTGGGACTGACCACCACCTTCTCCTCAGGCTCCTCTGCCTCTTCCTGTCCAGGGCCCAGCTCCTCAGCCTGGGAGTGTTGCTCCTTGCCCTTCTCATGGGCAGCAGGTGGGCTTGGGGCCTGCTCCCTTGATGTCAGTAAGGAAACAACTATGTTAAAGCCAGTAAGAAACCAAGAGGCTTAAGACGCACGCCATTTGGGGTCAAAAAGCTATGACAGAGATAAGAGAGACAGCCCCAATAGTTTCCCGACCTCAGGTATTAAACCTCCCTCTCCCCTCCCTTCCTCTCCCTGAATTATCTACATCAAAGACCAGAGACTCCTGCCTCACAATGGAAGCAGGATGGTTATGGGTACTCCAGGAGCTCCGTACACAGCAGGTATTCAGTGGATGCTGTTGACTGCACATCGATGTTGCTCAGGTTCCCTAGTGACTCATTCTAACCCAATGAATTATAAGATCAGCATCTTTCTCTTGCTAGGGAGACAAAGAACTAGTAAATGTCCACCAGGCTCTGAACTAAGCTAGGATGCAAAGGATCTCTCGGCTAGATTCAGAGTGATCTGGGCTTCCCTCTCCCTGGGCCAAGCACATTAACAGGGCTCCAACTGGGGTAGCTGAGTGACTAGAAGTAGGATGACTACTGAAAACAGGGGTGCTGGCAGGGAGGGGACTAGAGACAGGGCTTCCCTGGCAGCAATGCAGCAGCCAGAGTAACAACAGTCTCTGCTTGGCCCCTGGCAGGGAGGCAGCTGAGACAAAAGAGATACCTCCTTATTCAAGAGTCTCTAAGTTCCTCTAATCAGACCACATACTCTAATTTCAGCTGTAGACTGAGGCACATTGTGTAGGAAGAGGCACATTTCCTCATATCCAGCTCCCATGGGACACTAAGCAGACCCTCTGCTGCTGCTGCTGAGGGTACAAACCCACCCTAGCTCCCTCCCCAAGCCAACCCCATCTCTCTCACCACTAGCACACAAACCCGCTACAGGCAGAGCAGCCACCACCGGGGGTGTTTCCCCTCATCCTTACCTCTGGAGGGAGAGCAGCGGGCTGAGGCTGGCTACAGAGTCCTCCCCAGGCTCCTCTGCCTCCTTCCACTCGGGCTGCCCCTCAGGGCCCTGGGGGGGCTCTTCTTGGGTGGCCAGGCTGCAAGGGGGACTCTGGGCCCGCTCCTCGTGCAGAAGTGGAAGAGATAACCTGGTCAGGCCAGTCAGAGCAGCAGAGTCAGGAACCTCCATATGAAGAGTGGGAATAGAACTGGGGAGTGCAGTGTGTGGACCTAGGTCAATCCCTCTTCCTAGGTTATGCCCCAGCCCCGCCCCCACATCCATCCATGGAGAGCCACAGTGGGGCCAGGCAACCAGACATGCAGGAACGAGAGAGTCCCTCCTGAGCCCTCCTTTTGCCTAGACTGAAGTCAGGCTTCCCAGGGGTCCCTGTGCTGCCTCTGCTTGGTTCAGGAGTAAAAGCTGGACATACTCACAAATGTACCCATCCCCAAAGCTCACCATCACTGGGGCCAGGGAGGGGTAGAAGAACTGAGTGGGGAGAAAAAGAGAAGCCAGACTCAAGAGGTCAGACCAGAAAATGCATGAAGCTGTCATGGATAGTTTCTGCAGGTCCAAAAGTGAAATGACCATTCTCCTTCCCCTGCCAGGGTGGCAGTCCTTGTCACAAGGCTCAGGCCTGAGAAGCTTAGAACCCCTGTCACATCACACACAGACAGCTGCAGCCATTTCTGATGTGGCAGGGCCCTGGCTCAGAGCTCTGAGTTGCAGCACCAACCCTCCAATGTAACGCCTCCAGACTTCCAGAAGGTTTCTTCAGCCCTGGCCCATAAGCAGCCCTGGATCACACACAGCTTAATCAGCCCTGGCCCCACAATGGTGCCCAGAGTCCTGCCAAATGCACCCAGTGGCACTTCACATTCCCATCTCAGTGCAGAATCAGAGGGTCCACTCATGCGTACAAACATATACACACACATATACACACTGCAGGTACACCCACATGCACAAACAGATACACATGCATGTGCACACAGAAACCTTGCAAGGCCATCCAGCCAGCTTACCATCTGCCGTCAAGCAAGTGTACACTGAGCCAGGCCAGCCACCAAAGCCAAGAATTCTGCCCAAGTCCACACCACCCTGAAGCCACACCACATCTCATGTCCCTGGGGATATCCTCCCACCTACGGTACCTCTTCAAGCCTTTGGACTGCTTGCTCTGCAGCTCATCTTGGCTGGACTGGCTGTCATCCTTGTCTTCCATTCCCAGTTGTTGCTGGGCCTGTAGGAGAGAAACAATAAAAAGTTTGTGTTGTAGGGATTGCACCTGGGTCCCTCCATCCTCCTGCTGGCTCTCAAGCTTGGGAGAAAGCTCTGAGAAGCTACTCTCCAGAGGATAGGGCCAAGTGGGACATAGAACAGAGGGTTGGTCTACTGCACAATGAAGCTTCCCAAGCTTTGGCTAAGCCCCCAGGCTCATAGCTGCTCCCTGGTCGACTCTTAGGCCTGGGGAGGATAAGGTAGAAGACCACAGTCACTACACACAGAGTCAGCAGCCAGAGGCCGAAGGAGAACGCACAACAAAAAGAAAATCCTGACTCCTGCTACTGGAAGCCTGCACTGCGAGCTTCGCAGAGAAAGCAGAGAAATCCATGAGTACCCCAAATCCACAGAGGCCCAGATTAGCAGTGTCAGTGAATTACAGAGGTGCTAAAATGAAAAGGGCAGAATCGGGGGCCACAGGCAAGCACATGAGAAAGGATAAGTGCTGGAGAGATAGAGTCCTGGTAGAATGAGAGAGAGAGCTATACCTGAGACAAAAAGGGCAGCACCTGGCACCTGGAGGAAGGAAGACAGTGCTCCTTCACTACATTCAGAGCACCCCCGCAAGCACCCAGGCCCCATCAGCAGACAGTGATGCCCCCTTCCCAGTCAACAATTACATTATCCATCAAAAACAAAACAAGGCCAGGCGCGGTGGCTCACGCCTGTAATCCCAACACTCTGGGAAGCTGAAGAGGGTGGATCACAAGGTCAGAAGTTCGAGACCAGCCTGACCAACATGGTGAACTCCATCTCTACTAAAAATACAAAAATTAGCCAGGCATGACGGCACATGCCTGTAATCCCAGCTACTCAGGAGGCCAAGGCAGGAGAATCACTTGAACCCGGGAGGCAGAGGTTGCAGTGAGTGGAGATTGCCCTACTGCACTCCAGCCTGGGTGCCAGAGCGAGACTCCGTCTCAAAAAAAAAAAAAAAACAGAACAAAAATCTCATTTTAAAGCTTGGGTGATTAGTGAAATTTAGAAAGCTGGTAGGAAAAAAAGGAAGCAGGAAGAATTATTCTTTTTTTTTTCTTTTTTGAAACAGAGTCTCACTCTGTCACCCAGCCTGGAGGGGAGGAATATTGCTGATCATTTCAAATATTTTCCACAGAGGTATAGGAGTGTAATCAGCCTGGGGTCAACCCTTTGTTCTAGCTCTTCCTGCCTGGGAAGTCTGTCTCCTCCACTGTATAAAATGGGATCGTAAACTGCAACTCACAGGGCTGCTGGTGAGGATTAAATCAGCTCATATGCGTAAGGCCCAACTCCTGACCCAAAGAAGGCATGCCATCAATGTTAGTTCCTCTTCTCACATTCCTCTCCCTCTCCCCCAGCCTAAGGTAAAAAACAAAAGACTCTGCCGGTGCCAGTCCCCATCCTAGGACCTGCACTCCTTCTGTCATGCCAACAGGAGCCCCGTCTGTTCTGGGACACAGGGTCAACAGGAGAGGTGGGGCAGGAGACAGCTCACTCCGTCTTCCCCACTGGGGTCCCCAGCTCTGTGCCCACAGCCCCCACACCTCTCCACTGGCAGCCTAAGCCCCAGCAGCTGTGGCCAACCCTGCCATCTGGATGGGTAAGGAAGGGCAGGGCCTGAACTAAAACCCAGCTCCCCCAAATTACATTAAAAATAGAAATGCTGCCTGTGAGTACCTCCCAGTGCCTGCAGCAGAAGGGCTCCCTGCCAGGGCTGCCACTCCTCATCGCATCAGCCTGGGCAGAGCCTGCAGACAATGGCAGAGCATGCAGCCTTTCCCACCCCACCTCTCTCCACTTCCAGCGTGCAACTCGCAACTTGTCTTCCCCTACAGACCACACCATGCTCATCAAATATCTCCCTCTCTCACCTGTCAAGAAAGAAAATCACACAGGCTAACTCCATTTAACAAACTAAAATATAAGATGAGTAATAAAGTGGGGTGATAGTAATAAAAATAGGGGGACTGCACCCTGAGTCAGAAAGCTATCCGCCACACACCATAAGGAAAAAGGCAACTGACAGGAGGGCTGGCTACAGACCAAGGCTTTCTGGCCTCTCCCTTCTTGTTTCACTTATATTTTTGTGAGAAACTGAACAAGCCTCACTGACAGAGAAAAGGGGATCATCTGGGGAAATACCCAGACAGAGGGTCCTCCTGGTAGAGAGGGTTGCCTCCCTTGAACTTTTTGCTCCAGAAAAAGAAGCAAAGGGACCAGATGAGGAAAGCAGCCAAGGTCAGCATTCTTCAGAAAGCAGAGACAATCGAGCTGGGCACAGTTGCTCACGCCTATAATCCCAGCACTTTGTGAGGCTGAGGCAGACGGATCACAAGGTCAACAGTTTCAACATGGTGAAACCCCCTCTGTAATAAGAATATAGCCAGGTGTGGTGGTGCGTACATGTAATCCCAAATACTTGGGAGGCCAAGGCAGGAGACTCATTTGAACCCAGGAGGTGGAGGCTGCAGTGAGCAGAGATCACGCCACTGCACCCTAGCCTGGGCGACAGAGCAAGACTTTGTCTGGGGATGCGGGGAAGAAAGGGGAGACAATCGCACATCCTAAGCCTCTGGCCTAATATATCATTTCCCTCTCCTTAACTCAGCTCTAGAGTCTTTTTTTTCATTTAGGATTCAGTCCTTAGTTAAATAAACGATGGTGTATTCATACAGCAGAAGACTTTGCAGGCAACAAAATAAATATGGTAGATCTATATAAAATAACTCAGAAATAAGTCAAGAGCCTATTCTCAAATTTAAAGAGCACATCACCCAGCAGTTTAGGTAGCACAATCCCAATTTTTATGGGAAGAAAAAAGATAAGCAAGTAGAAAATAGATACAGGTTTATATGTACACAGAAAAAATTCTGGAAAGGCACACGAAAAATGTGAATGGAAACTGTCCATAGTCCCTGCCTGTGTGAGTAAGGTTAGAGGAAGTAGAGAACTTGGACCTTCTGTATTATTTGAAATAATTTTATAATCACTTTTCTAATTCATTATGAAATGTATTATGTCTAATTCATTATGATCTTTTTTTTGTGGTGATGGTTGTGAAGGTACATAACATGGTAAAACTTAACAAACAAATGTGCAGTTTATTGTATATCGATTATATCTCAACACAGCTGCATTAAAAATATTTAAAATGGGGAGAAATGCCAGATGTGGGTGAAGGGGAGGAAGACAGCAAATCACACTGCCACGTGTGTACCTATGCAACTATCTTGCATGTTCTGCACATGTACCCCAAAACCTAAAATGCAATAAAATATATATATATATATTTAAAATGAACAAAAACTAGTATAGCTCAGTTCTAAGCCCTCTCTCCTGCCCTTGAGAGAGACATGGAGAATATGGCAAATTGGGCAAGAGCACACAGGAAGGACAGAGGATGGCAGCTACAGTTCTGTCCCACGAAGGGGCTGCTGCTCTCTCCTCCAGCTCCACCTTCCCACTTGAGCCTTCCATCTCCAGAGATGGCAGACACCTGGAGGCTGAGCCCTGCAAAGGCTCAGCTACTTGGTCAGCTATGCTGAGCACCCAGTTACCCACATCACAACAGGCAGGGCACAAGATATAGTTTAAGGGAGGGGGGGGTCCCCCATTCCTGGGCTGCAGAGCAGGGGGTGAACAGTGGGTGAGCAAGCATTATCACCTGAGCTACACCTCCTGTCAGATCAGCAGTGGCATTGAGTTCTGACAGGAGCACGTATCCTATTGTGATCTGTGCATGCGAGGGATCTAGACTGCGTGCTCCTTGTGAGAATCTAATGTCCCGACCCGTGTCCCCATCTATGGAAAACCTGTCTTCCAAGAAACTCGTCGCTGATGCCAAAAAGGTTGGGGACAGCTGGCTTAGGGCTTCCTCTGCCAGGGATGGCCACCTCAGGAGGCTGCACCTCATGAGAACCAAAACCAAGTCAGGTCCTGCTATTCGTTACAGCAAGTGGCATAGCCCGAAAAGAGGCTGCTGTCCACATCGTCTTAAGTAGACCCAGAAATCTTTTTTTCAAGCTCCCAAGTAATTCTGATACTGGCCAGGTGTTGGACTCCAAGCAAAGGAATCCACCGTCACCCCACTGACGCAGTAACTTTCCCACTCACCTACTGCCAAAGGTGCCACACAATTTACCTGCTCCAAACCTTTCCTGACTAATCCCATCTTCCCTTGTCTGTGTCCTCACATCTCTTTAGCACTGCAAATAGGATGACCAAGGTCCAACAGGGACCAGGTAGCTGGACAGTGGCCCAGAAAGGTTTTATCAGCCAGACCTGAGAGGAACATGTGGGGCTCAAATGCAGTTGGCCTGAAAACTCTATCCTGTCTCTAGCACACATTTCACTGAAGTCTCCCAGGCTGGGTTCATATGAAACATCCTGTTTGTTTCACCCAAGAAATTTCCATTTTGCCCAAACCAAATGTTCCCTTAACCTTGCAATGTGCAGAGACCATGTGCCAGAACTGCTCTTCTAACCAATCCACAAAGGAAAAACAAAACAAACAAAAAAAAGGTCTTGGCTGGAAGCTCCTTGAGGACAGGATCTATGTTTGAGTCATCTTTGTACCCTACGTGGGTCAGTTATCATCCATGCACACACAGACCTTACATCTGGCAGGGGAAACAGACAACCATCAAACAAAACAAGAGGGACTAAGCAGAGCAAAGAGAGGAACAATTCATCCCACCTGAGGAGGTGGTGTCAGAGGTGAACCTCCAGGACCAACAAAGAGCTTGCCAGGAAAAACGGGAAAGTAGAGTGGCGGGCAGAGGGGTGGTGGAGGCGGAGATGTGACCCAGCAATGGTGAGCAGCAGTCCCAGCTGGTGAGTGGCAGGTGGGCTGGGCACGTAAAGAGGATGGATGGGAAATGTCTTGAAATCTACAGTCTACACAGTGTTTTGGACATGAGCAGAGATTCCCTCTCAGCTGCTGAATGAGTGGATAAATGAAAAAATATATGGGGGGAAAGGGCTTTAATTTACAGCAACAATGCAGGAATGGTCAGAAGCACCATGAAAGGCAGTCAGAACCATGCCTTAATGAATTAGAAGGGAGAGAACTTCCAGAAATGCACCCTGTGATGGGCAGGGCCCGGCTCTGGGTTATCCGAAAAAGTGGTTGTGAGGGAAAATGAGGCCCCAACTCAGCCCACCACCCAGAAAGACTCACCTGCCAAAGGGCTCCATCCAGGACAGGGGAAAGCACATCAACATCCAGCAGGTGCTCCGAGATCCGGGTGTGAGAACCAAAGTCCTAGAGACGGTGGAGATGCAAAGGTCAACTCTGCCTCTGTCACAGTCAACACCCACCAGGCCTCTTCACTACTCCTAACTTCACTTTCCAGAAAGATGTCTACTCTGTGCCCAGCTCTGTGCCAAACATTTCAACATCTACTAATTTCATCTTCAAAATAACACCATGACTAGATAGAAAGATACATGATAAAGCAAGTATGATAAAATGCTAATTGTGGCTATACATGGTGAATATGTGAGTATTCGCCGAACAATTTTTTCATTGTTCCATATGTTTGAAATTTTTCATAATAAAACTATGGGAAAAAAAATAACCCTGTGAGACTAAAATTCTTACCCTCATCTCACAAATAAGGAAGCAGGTTGGAGAGCACATGTAACTCACCCAAGGTCACACAGCTGAAAAACAGGGGCCTGAGGGTCAGATGGGGCCCTGTACTGACTCCAAAGCCCAAGCTCTTTCCGTGACACATGCTGTGAAGGATGTCACTCTCCAGCATCTCTCCTCATCCGTGGTGCCCAACCGGGCATGAGAAGAGAGGCCAACATCCCCAGAAAACCCATGGGTAGTTTGGCTCTTTTCACCTCATTCCATCCCCATTCCATACAGGTGCCCATCTAGACAATGCGGGCTAATTAGTGGTGCTTCCAGCACCGGCTTCTCTTTGGGACAGGCAGCAAGTGCCCACACTGGTGCCAGTTTGTTGCTGTCCTTTGGCTGCCACAGGCCCACAGTCCCACCCTCTCTAAGCCTAAGATCCCGGCTGAGCTAAGTGAAGGACTGCTACCCAATAGCATGCTAATGGGAACAGTCCTGTCACATCAACCCTGATTAATGGTGGGATGCCCAGACAAAGTCTGGTCCCACTGTCCACAGCCTCCTCCATCTACTTCCATAGAGAAGAAAAATGCTGATAGGCACATTTCTCCACATGGGTGACTGCTTTAGAAGGGCCAGCCCCCTTCCTTCCAAGAGATCTGTGACTTGGCGATTCTTCATGGACAGTTTTTGCCAACGACTTTTTGCCTTCCCTTTCTAGCTTGTGGGTTTTTCTTCTTTTTTGGTGACATTTTCCTTTCAGTTGGAGTTCTACTTCACTGAATGCAGCTGCCATCTGCCTGCTAAGCCCATGGCTCAGTGAGGCACAAGCACACACAGCCTCCTAATTCCTCTGCACCCCCTCATATCATTACTGTTCATCCCTGACCCTCTCCCACTAATCCCTTCCCTTTGATCTGCCTCCTCCAAACAGATGGAGGATGGCTTCTAGAGGTAATGCTCTGCCAAAATGCACCCTGAACTATTCCCCTTAGGTACAGACCTGACAAATGAAAGCAGGATACAGCAGGCTGGGTAGAAGATCTAGGACAAAGAAACCATGGATGCTGGCATTCCAAGACAAAGCCTTAACTTTAGAAATGAAGCCACAGCATCCCTCCTGGCCAGAACTTGGGGACTGGTCCCCGCCACAGCTCAGTGATCCCATAAACACAAACACACCAGTCTCTAACCTCCTAGGCTCATATAATGCTCCTGCTAGAGGTGACTCACATCATCACACAAGCAATTCACAGAATAGTGATAGTAATAATAGCTAACATTTTATGTTATTTTATATATAACATTATTATTAATGTTTATATGCTAACATTTTACATTCTTCTCACAACAAACCTATAAAATACCCTTAGTTAATGCATTGAGAAACTGGAGCTAGATAAGACTCGAGCATTTGTTCAAAATTCTCCCCTTACAAGCTGTGTGATCCTAGGCAAATTACTTAACCCTGGAGACTCACAAATCCATGCTCTTCACCACCACTCTACTGCCTCATCTCAAACTCACCAGCCCATGGAAGGACTTGGGGTCAGAAGCTATGGAGTCTGAGAGCTGTGGTTCCTTCATATGTTCACTAATTTCTGATTCCTGGAGAGAGAGACACAGAGAGAAATTCCTCGACAGAGCATAAAGGGTCTTCGTCACTACCCAGGGCATTCTGTTCAGGCCGTGGTGCCAATATAGGGCACAGGCCAAACTGAAATCCACTCTTCTGGAAAACCTAAAGGAGGCCTGTGGATCCCACCATTTTCTCTGGACATTTACACAGCCTCTGCCCCACTGGGGCTGGGCAGCTCACTGAGTAGAGACAACCACACTCTGAATCAGATCAGAAGGATTTACACAAGTAAGAAGAGCCAAGAGTAGTGGAGATGATTAGAAAGGTGGCAGTATGAAAGTCTGATGCTATCCTAAAACATGCTCTCCTTCTGTAAGAGGGCCATTGGCCTGGTCTTGCCAAAGCAACCACTCCTTCTGTAAGAGGGAGAGCATGTTTCCCAGAAAATAGATAAAAGCTTTTTTTTTTTTCAACACAGTCTCACTCTGTCCCTCAGGGTGGGGTACAGTGGCATCATCTCAGCTCACTGCAGCCTCCACCTCCCAGGTTCAAGCGGTTCTCCTGCCTCAGCCTCCCAAGTAGCTGGGATTACAGATATGCATCACCACGCCCAACTAATTTTTATATTTTTAGTAGAGACGGGGTTTCACCATGTTGGCCAGTGGTCTCAAACGCCTGATCTCAAGTGATCCACCTACCTGGGCCTCCCAAAGTGCTGGGATTACAGGCATGAACCACCATGCCCAGTCAATAAAAGCTCTTTGAATGAATTTCCTCACCATTTACCTGGAGGAGGAACAGGACTAAGGGTTGAAAAGTCTAAAATGCCAAAGGATCTCCCCATTCAGACTTACTTCTGCCCATTTTGGTCACTGGCCTGGTCTTGCCAAAGCAACCACTCCCATGTCTTGGGATAGTTCAGAAAGAGCCACAAAAATGGACGAGAAGAGTCTTCTTGTCACCTAATCTACCTATGCTGGGGTAGAATACTCCCAAATGTGGTACCTATTGCCCCCGACCACCACCGTCCCCCACCTCATCACAACACACAACATTCTCTCTCTCTAGGAACTCCAACTGCTGCAACCACGACTACCCCAAACTTCTCGTACTTGTCAAGGAGTACAAGGGGAGCCAGGCTGGGAGGCCAAGACAGACAGACAGAAGCTGAGCTCAGGAGTTCAAGATCAACCTGGGCAACATGACAAAACCCCGTCTCTACTAAAAATACAAAAAATTAGCTGGGCATGGTGGTGCATGCCTGTAATCCCAGCTACTCAGGAGGCTGAGGCAGGAGAATTGCCTGAACCCAGGAGGCGGAGGCTGCAGTGAGCCGAGATCACGCCATTGCACTCCAGCCTAGGTAACAAGAACGAAACTCCGTCTCAAAAAAAAAAAAAATACAAAAATTAGCCAGGTGTGGTGGTGCATGCCTGTGGTCCCAGCTAATTGGGAGGCTAGGCACAAGAATCACTTGAACCTGGGAGGCAGAGGTTGCAGTGAGCCAGGACTGCACCACTGTACCATAGCTGGGGTAAAGGAGCAATACTCTGTCTCAAAAAAGAAAAAAAAAAAGACAAGACAAGACACCCTAACTATGATGAGGTGGCCAGATCACTTGAGCTCATGAGTTAGAGACCAGCCTAGGCAGCACGGCAAAACCCTGCCTCTACAAAAAATACAAAAATTAGCCGAGCATGGTGACACATGCCTGTGGTCTCAGCAACCCGAGAGGCTGAGGTAATGCTCTGCCAAAAAGCACCCTGAACTATGATGAAGTGGGAGGACTGCTTGAGTCCTGGAGGTCAAGGCTGCAGTGAGCCAAGATCATACCACTGCACTCCAAGCCTGGGCCACAGAGCAAGACCCTGTCTCAAAAAGAAGAGAAAAAAAAATGTACAAGAGGGAGGTAAGAAGCAGGAGAGGAAGGAAGTAGTAGAAAAGAAAACAAACATTCCAGGAGGGTGCCAATGGAAAAGCAAATTTCTGCTCTCAATTTGGAGTGCCAGCAGGTTTGCAGCTTTATTCAGGATTTTACTGCCTGCTGGGTCTGGGCATATTTGTCACAATCAAGGGCTCTGGCTGATGCTGACAGCCCAGTGCAGGGACTGCAAATGAAGCTCCTGACTCAGTAATAAAGATGTGGGGATAGGACCCTGCCCAAGGCTGAACAGAGCAGCAGAGGGCTACAGCCAACCCCTGCCTATGGGACACGGTGACTTACTTTGCTGGCGTATGAACTGCCCTCTTCCAGAGCAGAAGCTGTCTTCTTTGGCTCCTTTGCTGCCTGTTCCCTCCTGCAACCCTCCTCTCCTGCATCTACTGTGTCCTCTGGTGCCTCCTTTTCAGAGGCCTTGGCAGGCTCATCGCCTGTAGGGTCCACCTTAGGGGTCACCAGATTCCTGGAAGCCTCAGGTTCACTCTTCTCATTTTCCTCTTTTTCTGGAAACCCAGGTCTTGCCCCACTTCCCTGTCGCCCTTTGCCATCAGCACTGCTCAGACTGCTGTCTGCACCCGGGCTGGAGGGCTGGCAGGGAGTAGGGGGACCAGCAGCATCTGAATCTAGAGAAACATCTCTCTTCTCTGGCTGGCTTGTTCTGAGAGACTCCTAGGAAGCAACAGACCATGTTAGAAAGGAAGACATAAGGAATGTGCAAAAGGAGTTGAGACATGGTACAAGACGGAAATGCTATTCCCTGATTCCCACAGGCCAGCGCTTGAGTTCTTACCCAGTGATTGTCAATCACCCAGTTTTTAAATTTTATTTATTTATTTATTTATTTGAGACACAGTCTCACTCTGTTGCCCAGGCTGGAGTGCAGTGGCACAATCTCAGGTCACTGCAACCTCTGCCTCTGGGATCAAGTGATTCTCATGCCTCAGCCTCCCTAGTAGCTAGGACTACAGGTGTGCACCACCACACCTGGCTATTTTTTGTATTTTTAGTAGAGACAGGGTTTTGCCATGTTTGGTTTTGCCAGGCTGGTCTCAAACTCCTGGCCTCAAGCAATCCATGTGCCTCAGCCTCCAAAAATGCTAGGATTACAGGCATGAGCCACCGTGCCCAGCCCACTCTGCTCTTTAAAACACAGATTCCTGGCTCCACCCTAGCTCTACAGAATTGGAATTTATATGGTGATTTGGATATACCCAAGCTGATCCCCATCCACTGGAGGGCCTGGAAGTCATTGCGCTGGATGATACAACTCTGTCACCACCTATCATCTCCTCAAGTAATAAATCTGTCTCGCTACAGCCCCATTAGCCACATCATAAGACTGCAACTCAAAAGCCAATATTTAGTTAAGATGATGATGGATCATCACATGAGAGAAAGGCAGCAAATTCTCAAATTTCTATTTTTCATGTTTAACAGGCAGCAGGGTAAAAACTAACAGGAAAGTACTCTTCATCCCTAAAGCCTTCCGGGTACACACTGATCAGCCTCAGAGACAGCAGCCTCACCAATCACTGCTGACTTGGTCCTCTGAGAAGCAGATGACAAGGTAGGGTTAGATGCCTGAGAGATTTAAGGCAGATGTCTACAAAGGATAAAGGAAGTGGGCGGAGCCTCCAGACTTTCTCCAGCTCTGACAAAGTCTTGGCCAGCCCAGCAGAGTCACCAAGCAGGCTGCCACTAGAGGAGTTCCATACCTGCAGAAATGGCTCTGCTTTCAGACCCCTGCTGTGCCCCATCACCAGTAGAAAACACGGCCTTCCATGAAGAAGGGGGGATAGAAAGGGTGGCTGGAGGCTGTCAATCTCTACTAACCTCCCCTTGGCAGGGTCTCTGGAAAGGGGATCTGAGCAGTGCATCCCTACAGTGGCCACACCCTGCTTCTTAGACACAAACCTCACTTTAAAGACCAGTAAAAACCTAAGGCTCCTTCCACTAAATTGCTTAGAGTCAGTCAAAAGAGACAAAGAAAACCTTCCCTTGGAAATACAGCCAGTGATCTCTGCTAGGCTTGGGCTGAGAAGCCTTCCTCTCAGAAAGCATCTGTGCTGACACTTGGGCTGCCAGACTGAATAACTTCTGATGAGGGATTTTTAAGGCTTCCTGATTCCCTATTCTGAAGACTCAAGGACCATGATGACTAGAGTGGAGAGGTCCAACAACAAGCCCTAAGCATGGCATTTATTGATGCTCTGTTACAGTGTCTGCTGTGCCCACAGAAATTACCCTCTGCCTGCAAGTCTGACAGTCTACTGACAAGCTAACCCAGTCTTCCTAGGGATGATTAAGCAGGCCAGTAAAGCAGAGTCATTCAGAGCCCAGCTTTGGAGACAGAGGCTGCCCAGGCTCAAATTTTGGCTCCACACTTAACAGATGTGTGACCTTAGGCAAATTACTTAAGTCTATGAATGTGCCTCAGTTTCTTTTGCTAAAATACTGGGATGTCGTAGTGCCTACCTCATAGGGAGTGTTGTTGGGAAGACTAAGTGAGTTAGCACTCATCAAGTGAGTTAAGTAACTCAGAATTGTGAATGGCACACTGTCAGTGTCCCACAAATGTTAACTTACGTTATGTAATGAGACTTACACATTCATTCACTAAGCACATTCTATGTGCCAAACACTGCCTTGGGAATCCAAATACAGCCAAGACATAGATCCTGCCCTCGAGGAATTGAGCTAATATTGAGAAAAGTGAAATGTTCCCAAAGGCTTTGGTTATGAGCCTTGACTGCCCAAAGCAAAGAGGCCACTAGACACATTGGTGATACTGTCATCAGGCCCAAGCCTGTCCCAGAAAGAAGAGCAGAAAGGGAAGTAAAGAAGGCATGAAGGAAGCTCATGTCTTGGCAGCATGCATGCAGGTACCCACCAGTGCTGCCCCTCCCAGCATCCCTAACCTCCAGCCTGGAATAAACCTGCCAAGACCACTGGGCTTAGAGAAGGAAGACAAACTTCTCTTCAAGTGAAGCAGCTTCAGGCTGAGCCTAAAGGCCTTTTTGTCTCTATACCACCAAATGTCTGTGGGTTTCTGAGGTGGGAGTTGCCTGGGTTGGGCTAAGGGTGTCAGGAAAACCACACCCCCTTACTCAGCAAGCAGGGCCAACCTACCCTGGCCAGGCTCATCCCAAGATTAAGGAAAGGCTCCCCGCAGCTTGAAGTTGCAAGTGAAACCTGGTCCTAAGAGGGCTGCCTACCAGTACACCTTAGATGTGAGGACAAAGGAGGTATCAGATAAACAGTCCCTATGGCCTTCAGGATCAACTTTATACTCCTGCTTGGCCCACAGCCCTTAAGGCCCAGCTCCTGCCTGCCTCTCATGGCTCACCTCCAGCCAAACTCTCAGATACCCTCTCCTCCTACCTGTGGATAAACATCACACTAGTTCACTACTTTGCCATGCAATTCCTAAAACACACATATACACACAATACCCCGACACACTCCCACTGGTCCTCACTGCATCCCCTCTTACAGGATGTCTTCCTTGATCCCTGGGTCAGCTGATCTGAGATAAGCCTTCCCATCATCCACCTTAATAGCTATATTTGCTGATTTCCTTATCTGTTTTTGTCACCAAATTAGCTCCTCATTGTCCTCCATACCTAGTTTCTGGCACATAATAAAGGTTTGCTGAACGAATTGTTAAACATGAATAAGTGGGTCATGCAAAGCTAGGAGTTGAGGTTTCCCTTCCCAATCTGCAAAAAGGAGACGTAATATTTATTTTACAAGGTTATATAGGGATTAGACTATATTTACTATAGTGCTTATTAAACAAAAAATAACTAAACAAATGTTAGCTATTAATTAACTATTCAAGATGATGGAAAAACAAGTAACCTATCAAAATTTCAGAGAATACAAGATACAGGTAGAGATTCCCCATCCTTGAGAAGAACAGGAAAAATAACTAATGGGTACTAGGCTTAATGCCTGGGTGATGAAATAATCTGTATAACAAACCCCCAAAACACAAGTTTAGGGGTTATCCTGAACTTAAAATAAAAATTAAAGAGAGAGATTTCCATTTTTACAAATGAGAGGATATAGCCAAATTGTAATAATCTTGGGCCCAGCTCAATTCTTATGCTTAAATTCTTCAAAAGAAAATTTCCACATGATGGTGCTCATTCTAGTCTGCCTTACCTAAAACAGTAAAACATGGGTAATATTAAAATAAATGACCTTGCATTCTCGGCACCATGTTGACTAACTGCAACCGCAGGACAGCACCTCGAGGGTGGGGAAAGCAGAGAGGCAAAGCATTTGTTGTAGATTATCCACAAATGAATGCACAAGAGCTGAGTGTCTGGAGAAGCCATTCAACTCCATGAGTATCTCCTTTCACCTGGCCCCTGCCTCTTGTCTCCGGGCCCAAGGCCTGAAGCTCCAAACAGGATATATACTCTGGGCACTCAAGTGCAGTCTCCTGCCCTGGGCTCTGTGGGAAGTGAAGGCAGAGGCGGGGCCTCAGTCTCAGCAGAGCTTTGCCCTCAGCTTATCCCTGCTCACACTCCTTCTGCCTCCTCCTTTCACAGTCCCAGGTCCTTGAGAATCACAAGGCACATTTCTGCTGCTTTTTCAAAAAAAGACTTTACCATCTGCATGAGGAGAGAGCAGGAGAGAGCTTATAAGAATTGTTTCATGAATATTTAGCATGCCTCCCAAAAGCCATGAGGTTCCCCTCCTTCTGCCCAGACCACAAGACAAGGACTCTTGTAATCCACGAGCATGGGGGACAGGGCACAAAGGATGTAGGAGCTGAACTCATGTCTGTGCACTGACTCTGTTCTGCAGAGACCCCCAGCAAGCTGATCATCAGTCCAATTTATTTTTCAGATTTCATTCCTGCCCAGTTGGTCTCAATTCTTTGCACAGTCCCCAGTGTTGTTAGCACTTTCCAATCACACTGACATCATCCTGTGATTTCTAAGCCCAAGCTCCCTCCCACTCCTTTGATCCACTGATGGGCTTTTCACCAGCACCACATGGCCACATAAAGTCTGCTCACCTACCCTACAGCCTCCTGGCTTTCGTTCACCCTGTTCAGTGTCGGTTCCATAAGCCTCTCTCTCTTCAGTCTGTAACAGACTCGAAGTGGGTATAAGTTGGAGAGCAGGAGGGGGAGGAGACAAGACCAGATGCATTCTTGCCATCCTACTGCCCCCTCATGGAATCATGAGCAAAGTAACTTCCCAGTGAGACAGGGTAGAACTAACCTCAGAAGTCCATCTTCATCCTAGGCTGTCTGGGACACTCAGGAGTGGGGAAAAGTGGGTAGTTCAGAGAATCCAAATATTGTAAACTGGGACAAAAGCCATTTTCAAAGAGCAGGGCCCAGGCAGAGGTAGCATTGACTGTCCTGAAACCTCCCATTCGCCCCTACCACTAACACTTGCAACAAGAAAAGCCGTGATTCCTGCCTTAAGTTAGAGCATAGAATCCAACACTCCATGTGACAAAAAGACTAAATCTGTGGGGATGCTAGACACAGGGGTAGGAGGTGTACTTAACACCACCCACTCCAGACATTTCCCCTCATCACACTGGGGTGCCTATTTATATTAAAGAGGTTATAAAAGTGTTCAAAAGTCGCCACTCCCCGCACAGAAGCACACAGTCATCAGAAGAAAAGCTTTTAGAAATCCACCTTTCAAATAAGAAAAAGGCTTTTTTGTTGACATTTACAATCCATTATGAAGTTAAATGTTAACTTGCCCAAGGTCAAAGTAAATCATGATCAACCCACATCGGGTTCTTCAATCCACCAGCTGACAGCAGGGATCAAGTACCCACTCTATCCAAAACCTGGGAAAGCCAAGAGAAGAAAAAAATACGACACGACCTGCCCGGATACTCTCTCTGTCTCAGCATGGCTCATTCACTTACTCACAAATTCATTCTCTGGATTGCTGAACGAAACACACCCAAGAGCTTCCTATGTTTCAGAGGGAGTGGGATAGCTACTACCTGGGCATACAGAAATGAATACGGCAGAATCTCCAGCCTCAATATGCTCATTCTCATAGAGATTGTCTTCTTCCTGCACAAGCAAGTCAGTCCTCCTGACACCCCTAGTCCTATACATGGTCAACCTTCTTGGCACAAGCCTGAGCATCTCCTTTGATTCCATCTATATAGGTCTTACTGGTGGTGGAGAAGAAAACAAAATTGTCATTTCAGGGAACCAAATAGTCTGAAGGCTTTAAACTTAATCCTTCCAGACCAGGCCCTACTCAGAAGGAACAGTTTCAAAGCAGACATATATTAGCTTGATAATAAAGATAGGACACTTAGGAAAAAGGTCACATTTGACAAGAAATAGTAAAGTCATAATCAAAACCTATCTGACTGTGCACAGCCAAAATGTTGAACAGTTACTGAGATAACAGGCAAAGTCTAACTACAAAAAGAATGCTGGGCCGGGCGCAGTGGCTCATGCTTGTAATCCCAATACTTTGGGAGGCGAAGGCAGGTGGATCACTTAAGCCCAGGAGTTCGAGACCAGCAAGGACAACACAGCAAAATCCTGTCTCTACAAAAAATACAAAGAATAGCTGGCGTGGTGGCAGGCACCTGAGGTCACAGCTACTTGGGAGGCTGACATGCACTCCAGCCTAGGCAACAGGGTGAGATCCAGTCTCAAAAAAAGAAAAACAAAAAAAGCCCTGTCCAATGGCTAGACTTGGGTTGCCCACAACTCAAGTCTCAAGAACAAAATCAGGAGCTTTTGGCCAGCACTGAAACCTCAGGTGGCCTGAGACATTAATCCTGACTCTTAAGGCAAGGTGATTTCTAAGAAACAAGTCAGAAATAATAAGAGATAATGAGAAAGCAAATTTAAATCCAGGATATAAGCAATTCTGTTTTACTGGTCAGTTTTGTGATCATTCTAATAAAGCGTGAGTGACTTGTTTGATGTTAAGGTATTGAAAGTATTTAAAAGAACTTGGTATATTAGACTTGTAAAAAGTTTAACTGATTGCGCCTGCAACCAATATTTAAGTGTTTGGGGAAATCTAATTGGTGAGTTCATGATTCATTAGTTGTATAAATACTTTGGGAATATTTAGAGAAATGTTATATTTAAATTAATAAATTGGACACCAAACAAAGGATACAAAGCTCCTTTCTAAGTATAAAATGCATTGCTGGACACAACGGCTCATACCTGTAATTCCAGCATTTTGAGAGACCAAGATGGAAGGACTGCTTGAGGCCAGAGTTTGAGACCCGTCTGGTCAACAGAGACCTTGTCTTTGCAAAAATTTAAAAAGTAGCCAGGCATGGGGGCACATGCCTGTAGTCCTAACTACTCGGGAGGCTGAGGCAGATGACCACTTGAACCCAGGAGTTCGAAGCACTGAGCTCTGATGACACCACTGTACTCCAGCCAGGGCAACAGAGCGAGACTCTGTCTCTTTATATTTGGAAAAAAAAAAAAAAGGCATTGGAGGTTTTAGGTATTACAATAATATAATGAGTATTGATGTTTGTTTGTTTAAAGGGAGGGTCTAGAAGGGACAGGAATCTATTCATTTATTCTTGTTCTTCGCCCAAACCCCAAAAATCCCATCTGGACAGGACTGGGACAAAATGGTTCTTTTTCCAAATATGCATTCCACAAAGTAGGGGGGCTTAATTAAAAAAAAAAAAAGGAGGGATATGCCAGGCTGACACATTTGCCTATAGGGATTAGGGCTCTTACCTCATATTCAAAGTCACCCCCCAGTGCCCCAATGTCCAGGTGTAGGTTCTTAAGAGGCTCACTTGAGCTGTGGACACTCTAGAAATGAAAATGATGACACGTGGTAAGTCTGAGGAAACTGGTCAACCCAGGGTGAGAGGTTTGCAGAGGGAAAGGTAGGGCACTGCTAAGCTGGCAGGCGGGCCCAGGCAGGGCTTCAGAGGACTCGGAGCAGGACCACCACTGAGGCTGCCTCACTAAATGGCTTTCCATTCAGCACAAACTATGTATGCTGCGCACCAAGCAAGTAGCCAAGGTGCTCTCTGCTGGCTGTACTTTCTGGATCAGATCTAGAAGGATAATAGACTGCTTGAGAAATGAAGCTGTGAGCCAAAAAAACCATTCTTGCTTTTTAAAAAAGTAGCACAGAGACTGCCGAAGGTGGAAACAACTCATATATTCATCAACAGATGAGTAGATAAACAAAATGTAGCATATCCATACCATGGAATATTATTCAGCCTTTAAAAGGACCAAAGTTCTAATACATGCTCGTATTAGATACACAGATGACCCTTGAAACAGCATGCTAAGTGAAATAAGCCAGACACAAAAAGACAAATATTGTATAATTCCACTTACAGGCGGTACTAGAATAGGTAAATTCATAGACACAGAAAGCAGATTAGGTTTCCAGGGACTGGAGGGAAACGGAATAGAAAGCTATTGCTCAATAGGTACAGAGTTATTTGGGATGATGAACAAGTTCTAGAAATCAATAGTGGTAGGAGGGGGAATGCAAAAAAAAAAAAAAAAAGAAATGGATAGTGGTGATGAGTGCACAACATTGTGATGGTAATTAATACCACTGAATTTTACCTTTAACAAGGTTAAAGGGTAAATTTTATGTTACATATTTTTTTCATCACAGTAAAAAAAATTTCAAAAGGAAAAAATATAGCACAAAGGGTTTCCAGGTCAGGGAGAGGACTTCGTCATTACCAGGTTGTCACTTTCCTCCTCATCCTCCTCATTGGTTTCTTCTCCTAAAGCCAAGAGGCTGAGAGCATTCTTGTCTTCACGTATGGAACCCAAGAGACCCTTTGTAGAAGCAGAAGTCTTGAGACCCTGTGAAGGCTTCAAAATAGAGAAGGACAATCAAAGGACTCACTTGGAAGACCTTTGGAATGACTTTTAGAATGCTCCTCCCCACTCTCTATGTCAGTGTCTCCTAGATCAAGCCCCACCACATCCATGAAGCTGACCTGGCAACTCCAGCTCACACCAATGACTCCCTTGGGCCACTCCTACTGCCTTGGCTGCATAAACTGGGACATCAGCACTGATGTCCCTACAGCATGGGTCTATCCTCCACAGCCCAGAGTCTGCAGTCATAGTGGTGTGAATTATATTTTCCCAAGTAGATTATGAACCCTGAGGACTCCACCAATTCCCTCTATTTCTCACCCCTAGGCCATGGTTCCTAGTATGGTATACGGAGGGACTCACAGGAACTAAATACACTGAACACAAGACAAAGTACTTACTAGCACAAGTTCTCCAAACTGACATCCAGACTCCACTGAGCTCCCCAGGCTCACGCTTTGAGATCCACGAAGAGCAGAGGGTGGGGTATCCACAGGGCCTCGCAAAGGAGCCAGTCCCCCAAGAGGAACATGAACTGGGGCTAACAAGGAACCCAGGGCCTGGGCAACAGAAAACATCTTGTTACAACCCAAGAAACCATGTGGCTCTGAGTGTGTTAGAGACAGATAAAAAAATAAAACATCTAAATCCTGCACACTCGAATTTAAACCACCTCCGCCCAGAGGCTGCTAATGAAACACAACATCCAGAAATTACCATTGTGCCAACTATGTGAGAAATCGCAGCCTGGTTTCCTGATTCTCATAACTCTCATGCTGTCTCACAGTAAACAGTTCTTTTACATCTGGCAGATGCAGCATGGGGTTCTGCTCTCCTTTCAGAAGCCAAATAGGAGGCTGGGCGTGGTGGCTCACCCCTGTAATCCTAGCACTTTGAGAGGCCAAGGCAAGCGGATCACGAGGTCAGGAATTCAAGACCAGCCTGGCCAATACAGTGAAATCCCATTTTACCAAAAAATACAAAAATTAGGGCTGGGTGCAGTGGCTTACACCTGTAATGCTAGCACTTTGCGAGGCCAAGGTGGGCAGATCACGAGGTCAGGGGTTAGAAACCATCCTGGCTAACACAGTGCCAACCTTTCTTTACTAAAAAATTTAAAAAATTAGCCGAGCATCGTAGCACACGCCTGTAGTTCCAGCTACTCAGGACGCTGAGGCAGGAGAATTTGCTTGCAGGAGGCAGAGGCTATAGTAAGCCAAGATTGCACAACTGCACTTCAGCCTAGGTGACAGAGCAAGACTCAGTCTCAATATATATATATAAATTAACCAGGCATGGTGGCACGCTACTCAGGAGGCTGAGGCAAAAGAATCACTTGAATCAGGAGGCGGAGGTTGCAGTGAGCTGAGATCATGCTACTGCACTCCAGCCTGGGTAACAGAGAGAGATTTTTATTTTCTAAAAATAAAAATAGAACCCATATAGGAAGGATGCAGGAGTGGAAAGCAGAGACAAATCCACGTCTACCGGAAGGAGAAGTCTCAATTAAAGATGTAGTTTAAAACTGATGAATCAAGAAAAAGCGTTTTAAGCGTGTTCTTTACAAAGATGGAAGTAAACACCACAACAGAGTCACTGCCTTTGAGGAGGGCTCTGTATAGTTAAGTGTTACACTTTCCTATATGCCTTTTAGTACTTTTTTTCCTTTTTTTTTTGTATTTTTATTTATTTATTTTTTTAATTTATCTATGCCTTTTAGTACTATTTGACTTTTTTTTTTTAACTATGGGCATGCCTGTACGATTTGCTCTTGATTAAATCTAAGGCCAAGGCACAGTGGCTCACATCTGTAATCCCAGCACTTTGGCAAGCCAAGGTGGGAAGATCACTTAAGGCCAGGACTTCAAGATCAGCCTGGGCTACATAGCAAGACCCCATTTCTACGAAAGTATTTTAAAGACTAGCCAGATGTGGTAGCAAGCACTGTAGTCCCAGCTACTCAGGAGGCTGAGGAGGAAGGATTGCTTGATCCCAGGAACTGAAGGCTACAGTGAGCTATGATGGCACCACTGCACTCCAGTCTGGGTAACAGAGCAAGACCCTATCTCAGGCCAGCCTAGGCAACACAGTGAGACCCTGTCTCCATAGAAAATGAAAAAATTAGCTGGACATGGCAACACAAGCCTGTGGTCCTAGCTACTCCGGAGGCTGAGGCAGCAAGATCAGTTAAGCCCAGGACTTCAAGGTTATAGTGCAATATAGCCACTGGGAGATAATAACCACTGCACTCCAGCCTGAGAGACAGAGCAAGAAGACCCTGTCTCTATAAAATAAAAGCAACCCTGTCTGGAAAAAAAAATCAACACTAACTACAAAAAGTTACACATGAGCAACAAAAGGAAGGACTCTCTTCCCTCTCCACTGATAAGGTAGCTGAAAGGAGCCTTGCCAAAGGGGCAGTAGTGGGGCTGACCAGGTCCCTTCTCTTTTCCCTGTTCTCCTTCCTGCAAGCAAGGGCTGAGGAAAGAAATGACGCTGCAAATCAGAATTTGTGAGACTTCTGGCTACTCACAGACTCTCCGATTCTCAGTTTACTCATCTGCAAGATGGAGATGATATGGGCCTTGCCACCTGACTAGGTGTGCTGAGAAACTCAAGGAGACGAGTGCTAGGGCCCTTTATGAGTGACCCAGGGCTGTACCAACATTATAAAATTGCTATTATCACAGGGATTCACATTACTATAATCTAGGCTTATCAGAAGCAAGGATGGCAATCTGGTAACAATTTACAAAGAGCTCTTCAAAATTCATTTCTCAAACTTAAAATGTCTCAGATGACACGAAAATTCCAATCCTCCCTAATCCCACAAGGACTGAAGAGAGAAAAGGAAACCTAGAGGCAGTCACAAGATCCATCTTCTTGCCTATAGCCTCAGTCTAGGGGCCAGACCAGCTGGTGGGTTCCCAGCAGGGCCCATTTCTGCATCAGATGCTCACCAGGAAAGTAAGGTGAGAACCATTCCTGAGCCTCTGCAGGTCCACTGGAATCATCTTGCCTGTTGTAGAATATCTTTCTTAAGGAGAAAAGGAGCTGATAATAACCATAACCTGGCCAGCAGTGCACTGGCCAAACACTTTCCGTGCAATGTCTCATTTTATTCTCACAGCACTTGAGAACGGCTCTGCCATTATCTAGTTCCCATATAAGCAAACGGAGGTTAGCAAAGTCGAGAACCCTGCCCAGGGCGGGCGTGGTAGCCCACCCCTGCAATCCCAACACTTTTCGAGGCTGAGGCAGGCAGATTACCTAAGGTCAGGAGTTCAAGACCACCCTGGTCAATAAGGTGTAACCCTGTCTCTAATGAAAAAAATACAAAAATTAGCCAGACATGGTGACGGGTGCCTGTAATCCCAGCTACTGAGGAGACTGAGGCAGGAGAATCACTTGAACCCAGGAGACGGAGGTTGCAGTGAGGTGAGATCATGCCACTGCACTCCAGCCTGGGTTACAGAGTAAGACCCTGTCTCAAAAAAAAAAAAAAAACAAAAACACGCTGCCCAAAGTCACAGAGCCAGTGAGAGGCAGAGATGGGATTGGAACCCAAGGCTATCTCTAAGACAGTATTTTATACCAGCTCTGGTTACGGCAGAATAAAGAGCCTAGGATATGGTGGCTCACACCTATAACCCCAGTACTCTGGGAAGCCGAGGCAGAAGGATCACTTTAGGCCAGGAATTCAAGAATGGCCTGGGCAACATAGTGAAACCCCAAGTCTACAAAAAAAAAATTTTAACTAGCTGGCTATAACTGTAGACACCTGTAGTTCCAGCAATTTGGGAGGATTGCTTGAGCCCAGGAGCTCAAGGCTGCAGTGAGCTACGATCACACCACTGAACTCCAGCATGGATAACAGAGCAAAACTCTGGTCTCTTATAAAAAAAAGAAAAAAGAAAAAAAGTAGGGGGAAAAAAGCCCAAGAAAGCTTCTTCAAGGTAAACTGAACAAACCAGGCATGCTTCTCCTGGTTTCAGCCCTTCCAGCCAGCCCATGTATCAGCAAGCAAAATTCTCCCCACACGGTGTTTATGGAAAATTACAGACTCCTAACATGGCTAATTTGCTAACATGCTGGGGGCTTGAGGGAGGGAGACAAGCATGCTGAGGGCTTTGTTCTCCCAGGCCTTTACCAAATCAGCGATTAGCAGGGAAATTATACATTCCTGGCTCCTCGCTGATCATCTTCTATAGATGGCCATTAACTCTGAGTATGGGGCTGTGCGTGCAGTTGTCCTTCAGAGCAGATACACTTACTGCCATTGGGCTAATTAAAACTTTCAGGATAATCTGCAGTTTATCCGGTATTTATAGCTCTTCAGTACTTATTAAAGCTAACAGAGAACCAGTGCAAGCCAGCAATTAGGAAGCAGAGGCAACAACTGGGTAAAGCCACAGCTGGGCAACAGCAAAAGAATATCTGGAGAAATTCAGATTGATCCCCATGGTCTCTGATCTAACATGACTTCTGAATGAAGAATATGGTGACTCTTTAAAGGTCCAAAGGTAGAATGATAGGGCAAGGTCAGCCATTTGATAAATCCCAATAGGAGAGGAAGTGGAAGTCAAGAGTGAAGTCACAAATATGGTCTGCACAACCCTAACACAGGTTATCCATGTGGTTTTCTGGGGACCCTAGGAGGCAAAGAGCAGAAGCAGCTCACTGGATGGCAGAGAGAGGTTCTGACCTCCATCTCTCATAAGAATATTAGCTCTCAGTCAGGTGCGGTGGCTCACGCCTGTAATCCCAGCACTTTGGGAGACTGAAACAGGCAGATCACTTGAGGTCAGGAGTTTGAGACCAGCCTGGCCAATATGGCAAAACTCCATCTCTACCAAAAAGACAAAAGTTAGCCAGGTATGCTGGCACACACCTGTAGTCCCAGCTACTCAGGAGGCTGAGGCACAAGAATCACCTGAAGCCAGGAGGTGGAGGTTGCAATGAACCAAGATGGTGCCACTGCACTCCAGCCTGGGCGACAAAGCAACACTGTTTCAAAAAAAAAAGAATATTAACTCTCTAATCAGATGCAGTGACTCATGTCTATAATCCCAGCACTTGGGGAGGCCAAGGCAGGTGGATCACTTGAGGCCAGGAGTTCGAGACCAGCCTGGCCAATGTGGCAAAACCCCATTTCTACTAAAAGCACAAAAAAATTAGCTGGGCATGGTGGCAAGCGCCTGTAATACCAGTTACTCATGAGGCTGAGACACGAAAATCACTTGAACTTGGGATTCAAGCAATGGAGGTGCAAGCTGCAGTGAGCCAAGATCCACTGTTCTCCGGCCTGGGAGACCAAACGAGGCCCTGTCTGAAAAATAAAATAAAAATAAAAAATAAAATTAACTCTCTAGTTCTGTGTGATTTCAAGAAGGGATAAAGTTCAGAGCTTTGGGGTAGGCTGCCTATTTGGTAGGACTTCTCTCTAGAATCAGCTGATAGGAAAAGTTTCCCAAATCCCAGGAAGGTGTCTATATCTTGCACGAATACCAGAATTAATGACATCCTGCTGACCCTCAAAACTGATCATGTTCAAAGCATGTGAACCACCCATGAATTAGTTAGAGCCAGGGAAGGGAAATCACAGATACCTTCAGCCTTATCTTGCAGGTGATGGGGTAGAAGACACTTGAAATATGTGTCATCCCATTAAATGGCCATTTGGGTAGTTAAAGGACTAATAGTTATCAAGGTAGGGTGGGTAACAGAAATGCAGGCCTGCTGGCTGTAGTAAGACATCAACTCCACCTGCTCCCTCCCTGCCAAGTTTAGGCCTTTAGGCCATGCTCACTGAGAAGCCTACCTGGTTGAGACGCTGCATCTTGCCTGGCTCTGTAGCAAGCCCTCCGCTGGAGCTCTGCTGAACTAGCCCCTGCTTGAGGGGGCTGCTGCTTGGCTGGAAATGGGCTTGCTGAGAGGCCACCTGCCCAGCAGGGGCAAGGGCCACCTCCTGAGGATATTCCAGCAGCTCCTCTCCATGGCTCTGATGCCATGACAGAAACCTCTCCATGGCTCTGATGCCCTCGTGCTCACCCTCACTAGGAATCCTAGAAGACTCAGCTGCCATGCAACAGACTGTGCCGGTGCTGTGTCTGTACGGCACGTCCTGCATGCTCTCAGGCAGCTCCAGGCCCTCCAGCCGCCTGGAGAGCTTAACTATCTGCAGGATATGCTGGTAGAACCTCTGGTCCTCAGAGCAGTCTTCACTTTCTGATTGCTCCTCAACAGAGCTCTGCATGTGGGACACGTGAGGAACTAAGAAGGGGCTGAAGTGTTGATCTCTGAGTCCCGAGTCTGACTGACCCACACCCTTCTCAGATCGCGGTGAGCTCTGCCAGTCCCAACGGAAGTTGTTCACCTCATGCAGGATGGGAGAGCCCAGGTGTGAGACCAGGTTGCTACTGCTGCTGCTGCTGTTCTCCAAGTCAGGCCCAGACACACTAGGCTTCTGATCTTTACAAGGGAGCTCTGCAGACCCTGGGGGCTGTCTCTTCTCACCAGCAGGAGGCTCCCCAGGGGCCCTCCCTGAAATGGCATTCTGAGCTGGTTCTGATACCAGGGTCTCAGGTGGTATTAGCAAGAGCCCCTGAGGTAGATCTTCAGCTAAGGTCCCTAGAGCCTCAGGGTCACTGGGCTCTGTTTCCTTGCAGCTTCCTGGGATGTCTTTATTGACAAGCTTAGAGACCTGTCCCATCCACAGTCCAGGAGGTTCTCTTCTCCTCCTCCCACTGCCTACGCTCCCACCTTCCCCAGAAACTCCCTGCCAGCTCAGGTCTTCAGCAGGGCTGCTATCTAACAACAACTTGCTCTTCCTAGCAGGCAACATGTGTTCGGAAGACCCAGATGACAGGAAGGGCTCCTCCTCAGGGGATGACATGGGAATGGGGCTTTGGCCCTTGTCCCCTCCAGGGCCAGTGAAGCTCAGTTTGGCTAAGCTGTGGCTGTGCTGCTTCCCTTGCAGTGACAGGCCCTTGATGGCTTCGGAAAGCTCTGAGTGGACAGGGGCTTGGCTCCTGCTTTCTACCACATCCTGCGAATTTTGGAGAAGCCCAGTGTTCTGAGGGGCTGGAGTGTCCAGTTTCTGCTGTCTGCTCCTCATTTCCAGCTCTTCGGTTTTGGGGTCTGAAAACCCCAGGTAGATTTTCTCTGTTGAATTCTGGAGTTTCTCCAGACCCTGCTGATCACCTAATTCTCTCCTGCACTGGGCTGGGGCCCTGCCTAAGACTTTCTCCATGTTGGCAAAGACCTGGTGGGTTCGGGAAGCTTGGCCTTTGGAGAGTGACTGCAGCCTTCTGGGTAAGGCACCCATGAGAGGCCAGGGGGTGTCGCCCAGCATGCCCAGGCTCTTTCCTTTGTTACAGGAGCCCTTGCTTCTAGCCTGAGTATCTTGATCTAGGTCCAAATCAGTAAGCCCATGTGCTGACAGAGGGGATGGTCTGCAGAGAAAGGAGGAAGGAGGCAGAAGTCCCTCCTCAGGCTGTGTTTCCTAGATGGGTATATAAACATGCAGAGAAAATGAAGACAAAGCACTTCTGATTTACACTTGCCACCTCAGCCCTTGGCAAGCCCTTAGCAGAAACCCAGCCTTAAAGTAAAATACAAACTGAAAAGGGAGGAAAAGATAAAAACTCACTTGGGCTGAAAATACGTTGTTTTCTAGGCTCCAGTTTCCTTATCTACAAAGAGGAGGCTGAATTAGATCAATTGTTTGCAAACCTTGCTCCCTGGAACCTGGGAAGTTCAGTACCTTGGGGTCCACAATAGTGTACGCGTGACAGAGACCCACACTGCCAAGTTCAACCAAAGCAGCTCCATTTCTTTTTTTATAAGTTAGACCTCTACAGAGGAACTGACTTGAAGACAGTCTGAAAAGCACAAACCAGATCATCCCTAAGGTACTATCCAGCTCTCAGACTCTGTGATTGGTTAGTTTTATAAAATGCACCAACTTTGGAACATGTGTGGTGGCTCACACCTGTAATCCCAGCCCTTTAGGAGGCTGAGGCAGGCGGATTACTTGAGGTCAGGAGTTCAACACCAGCCTGGCCAACATGGTGAAACACCTCTCTACTAATAATACAAAAAATTAGCCAGGTGTGGTGGCGTGTGCCTGTAGTCCTGCTCCTCAGGAGGCTGAGGCACGAGAATTGCTTGAACCCAGAGGGTGGAGGTTGCAGTGAGCCAAGATCATGCCACTGTACTCCAGCCTGGGCAACAGAGCAAGACTCTCTCAAAAAAAAAAAAAAAAAAAAATTCCATCAACCTTATCAAGGACTCCCAGAAATTTTTTTAACAGGGAGAGAAGAGAAGCATAACAAATGACCTGAGACTTGAAAACTCATTCCAGTGCTGTCTACCAAAGCAACAAGTTGGTATTGCTTGAGAGACTTCCACATGGTCACCAACTCTCTGGGCTAGGAAAAATTCTAAAACATCAACCATCCCTCTACAAACATTCACACTGAACCCCACCTGGCTGTGAGTGCACATCTCCAGAGAGTCCAAACCACCTGCATCCAAGATACCCACCTGGCTCAGAGCTGTCCCCCTGACAAACTCAAATTTGAGGCACCTGTCCTGAGCCCTAAGAACTACATTGACAGCACAGGGCTATGGTTTCCCTTCTAAAACCATAGAAGGAACTCTTTAACAGCAAGTCTCTAAGAACCCAATCATGCACCTACATGTCATTCCTTTACCCAACTCTCCACCTCGGAACCCTCACTTCATTCCTTTGCCCACCTTTCGTCAAGCCAAAGCCTGCCCAGATGCCTAACTTCCATTTCAAATTATTCTGTGTCTGTGAAAAGCTCCGTAGCCACCTTTTGCTGTTCAAACACATGATATTAGAAAATCCCGCCTCACTGGAAATTATGTACCCTATTTTCTTCATCTGGAGGAATGGGCTTGTTACCATGTTTCTCAGAACAATAAGTAACATGTGGGCGGGGTAGTGGGGGGAGGAAGGGAGAAGCATCTGTGGAGCTTGGACAAGAGGAAGCACCAGGCTCTGGAGGTAAACAAAAACTATAAACTAAAGAGCAAAACAACCGTGCCACTGAAGAGATCTGAAACGATGTTCCCAGTGCTCCCCGCTGGCTGAACTAAGTTTTTGTGTCCCTCCCTCTCTTCAGCATGCCCCACCTGCCCCAGGCCTGGGTGAAAGGATGACCACAGCATTCTGGGAGAGCCTGGGCCTCACTTTGCTATGGTTCCAGGTCTTAGTTGCTCCACCTGAATCGTGGGCAATAACTCCACCTCCTAGGTTCAGATGCACTGAAGGGACAAATAAAATAATAATTCATATGAACACTTTGAACTCAAATACAAAAGCTACTTACAACCAAGAAAATCAGGCTGGACGTGGTAGCTCACGCCTGTAATCCCAGCACTTTGGGAGGCCAAAGAGGCGGGTGGATCATTTGAGGTCAGGAGTTCCAGATCAGCCTGGCCAACATGGTGAAACCCCATCTCTACTAAAAATATAAAAATTAGCCAGGCAGGGTGGCAGACACCTGTAATCCCAACTACTCAGGAGGCTAAGGCAGGAGAATCACTTGAGCCTGAAAGGCAGAGGTTGCAGTGAGCTGAGATCACACCACTGCACTCCGGCCTGGGTGACAGAATGAGACTCCATCTCAAAAAAACACAACAAGGAAATCACATTGCAATTAAACTTCAGTTATTCACCACTTACTGAGGACACTGGCAACAAAGACAATCTAGATGAGGAGATAACGCCCAAGGCTTTTCTTTTGAATCTTGAAGGCACTGGTATTTGAGAATTCAATTATGGCTCATCTGACATCTAGGAATTCACACCACTTTCAGATAAATAAAGAACCCACACTAGGGAGACCTGACTCTGAATAAAAAGAAAGGACACTTCACTCAGATCACTGGCCTCTGCCAACTTCTTTCAGTCCATACTCTCCAGAGCAGCAGATGCCATCACTGCTGCTACTACTACTGCATCAATCCTATCAGATGGGGAAAAAAAAGGAAATGTGTAGAGATGGCAACAACTTCCAGAAGCTGAAAGGAAAATCTACCAGAAGACAGGCAAAGTTTAGATAATGTACTATCAAGAATTTACTTTATTCTGACTGTTGTTTTCAACCTCCCAGCTGCAGACAACTTAGAGGTTTCCAACATCCCTCCAGATTTCAGCCCTGGCCTCTCTGGGAGGAGGCATCCACTGACTCACCAGGGAACTTTTAGGGGTCTCTTTGTCCTTCTTGTCTTTCTTTTCCTTTTTCTTTCTCTTCTCTTTCTTCTTAATGGCCCCAGAGGTTGACAGCTTTGCCCGCTCTTGGATCACCAAGTTCCGATAGTGCTCGTCACATGGATGGTCCCACATAGACTGCCCGTTGGCAAAGTTGAAATAGTAAATGTCACCTGTGACGTGCTGGCTAGGGATGGGTAGAGTTCAGAAGTTAGTCGCTGCTCAGGTACAAAAGAAGAAAAAGAAAAAGCGAGATGATGTTAAAGAGGAGGAAGAGAAGGGGGTGGAAAAAGGAGAGAGAAGATAGAATGAGAGGGGTTAAGATCAGAGGGAAAGAAAGGGTTAACACAAAATCAAAGGGTACCATCTGGCTAAGAAGGAGTTAGCTTAGATACAGGAAGAAAGGATTGGCATACCTAAGGGCTCCTCTAGATGGTAATTTATAATCACTGGAGTTCTTGAGAATGCATGCTGAACTAGTATAGGAATGAACTTGGTTTTATTTAGATGGAGAACTATAAACACTATGGTACACTGAACCTAAGTGCTAGGATAAATTTTAATTTTTTTTAGAGACGGAGTCTCTCTCTGCCTCCTGGGTTCAAGTGATTCTCCTGCCTCAGCCTCCCAAGTAGCTGAGATTACAGGTGCATGCCACCACGCCCAGCTAATTTTTTGCATTTTTAGTAGAGACAACATTTCACCTTGTTAGCTAGGATGGTCTTGATCTCCTGACCTTGTGATCTGCCCACCTTGGCCTCCCAAAGCGCTGGGATTACAGGCATGAGCCACCATGCCTGGCCATCTTAATATTTTAATAAACAGTCTGAGGAAGAACAATGCATTGTGAGAGCTCTGGTATTTTTGTTGTTGTTGTTGTTTTTTGAGATGGAGTTTCGCTCATTACCCAGGCTGGAGTGCCATGGCGCGATCTCGGCTCACTGCAACCTCCGCCTCCTGGGTTCAGGCAATTCTCCTGCCTCAGCCTCCTGAGTAGCTGGGATTACAGGCACGCGCCACCATGCCTAGCTAATTTTTTGTATTTTTACTAGAGACGGGGTTTCACCATGTTGACCAGGATGGTCTTGATCTCTTGACCTCGTGATCCACCCGCCTCAGCCTCCCAAAGTGCTGGGATTACAGGCGTGAGCCACCGTGCCCGGCCCAGAGAGCTCTGGTTTTACAGAAGACCCTAAACTCATAAGAAGTAATAATCCAAGCTAGTGTGGACCGATGGTAAAATAAAATAATGTAGGAGGTATATTTCAGGAAGTGTTTCAACATGGGTAAGTCCAAAATAAACCATTCATCTCATCCACCATCAACAACAATGTATTAAGACAGCTAACTGGAAAAAAGAAATCCACTCACAACAGTAATGCAAAGTATTTTACACTCACGCATAAACCTAAAATGTGTAAAATCTTTATAGAGGTTTACTGAAAAGTCAGGGAAAAAAAAGAAAAACCACTGGAGAGGCATTCAGTATTCCAGAATACAAAGACTCAAGTTGGTAGGGATGCTAATAATCCTAAAATCAAGATATAAATCCAATACAATCCCCATAAATCTCCTTATGAAATTTGACAAAATAAACCTCAATTCAAACAAAAAAGAAAATGAAAAATAGATGAGAAAATGAGCAGAAATAAAAAAAAAAATCAGGGGTAAAAAAAGGACAGTTATAGAAGATATTCAAATGACCAATAAGCACATGAAAAAATGTCCAACATCACTAAGCATTAGCAAAGTGCAAATCAAAACTATAATGAGTCAGGTACGGTGGCTCATGTCGGTAATAGCAGCACTTTGGAAAGCCAAAGCAAGAGGATCACAAGGTCAGGAGTTCAAGACCAGTCTGACCAATATGGTGAAACCCTGTCTCTACTAAAATTACAAAACTTAGCCAGGCATGGTGGTGCATGCCCGTAATCCCAGCTACTTGGGAGACTGAGGCAGGAGAATCGCTTGAACCTGGAAGGCGGAGGTTGCAGTGAGCAGAGATCATGCCATTGCACTACGGCCTGGGCAACAGAGCAAAAGCAAGACACCATCTAAAAAAAAAAAGAAACCATAATGAAATGCCACTTCACACCATAAGCATGGCTATTATCAAAAACCCCAAAAATAAAAGCCTGGGCAATATAGTGAGACCTTGTCTCTACAAAAAAAAATTTTTTTTAATTAACCAGGCACAGTGACACACAACTGTAGTCCTAGCTACCCAGAAGACTTGAGGTGGGAGAATCACTTGAGCCCAGGAGTTCAAGGCTCCAGTGGGCTATGATCACACCACTGAACTCCAATCTGAGTGACAGAGCCAGACCCTGTCTCAAAAAATAAAAATTTTTTAAAAAGGCCAGGTGCGGTGGCTCACGCCTATAATCCCAGTACTCTGGTCAATCCCTTGACCTCTGGGAGGTCAAGGTAGGTGGATCACCTGAGGTCACGAGTTCGAGACCAGCCTGACCAACATGGGAAAATCCTGTCTCTACTAAAAAACACAAAAATTAGCTGGGCATGGTGTCATGCACCTAGCTACTTGGGAGGCTGAGGCAGGAGAATCGCTTGAACCCAGGAAGTGAAAGTTGCAGTAAGCTGAGATTGTGCCATTGCACTACAAGCTGGGTGACAGAGAACACTTGTATACTGCTGGTAGGAATGTAAAATGGTGCTTCAGTAAATAGCATGGGGTTCCTCAAAAATAATTAAATCAAATTTAATATGAAATATAATTTAACTTAAATATAAAATAGATTTTGCAATAAATTAAACAATTTTAAAACAGCTGGGTAGGCCAGGCATAGTAGCTTATGCCTGCAATCCCAGTACTTTGGGAGGCTGAGGCAGGTGGATCACTTGAGGTCAGAGTTCAAGACCAGCCTGGCCAACATGGTGAAACTCCGCCTCTACAAAAATACAAAAAAATTAGCCAGACGTAATGACACACCTGTAATCCCAGCTACTTGGGAGGCTGAGACAGGATAATCGCTTAAACCCAGGAGGCAGAGGTTGCAGTGAGCTAAGATCATGCCATTGCACTCCAGCCTGGACTATAGACCGAGACTTCATCTCAAAAAAAAAAGAAAAAATAGCTGGGCACCATGGTGCACACCTGTAGTCCCAGCCACTTAGGAGGTTGAGGCAGGAGGATCCCTTGAACCCAGCTGTTTGAGGCTGCAGTGAGCTATGATTACACCACTGCACTCCAGCCTGGGTGATACAGCAATACCCCATCTCTAAAAAAAATTAATTTACTTTAAAATAGATTTACCATGTAACCCAGCAATTCCATTTCTGGGCATATACCCAAAAGAACTGAAAGCAGGGATTCAAACAGATATTTGTACCCCAGTGATCACAGCAGCATTATTCACAAGACAAAAAGAAGACCAAATGTCCACTGACAGATAAATTGAAAAACAGGGCCAGGCACAGTGGCTCACGCCTGTAATCCCAACCCTTTGGGAGGCCAAGGCAGGTAGATCACTTGAGATCAGGAGTTCGAGACCAACATGGTGAAACCATCTCTACTAAAAATACAAAAATTACCCCAGGCATGGTGGTGCATGCCTGTATTCCCAGCTACTCGGGAGGCGGAGGCAGGAGAAACACTTCAACCCAGGAAGCAGAGGTTACAGCGAGCCAAGATCGCACCACTGCACTCAAACCTGGGTGACAGAGTGAGACTGTCTCAAAAAAAAAAAAAAAATTGAGAAACAGATAAATAGAATGTTGTATATACATGCAATGGAATATTATTTTATTCAGCCTTAAGAATGAATTCTCTTGCATGCTACAACATAGATGCACCTTGAGGATATTATGCTAAGTAAAGAAACTCAGACACAAAAAGACAAATATTGAATAATTCCACCTATATGAAGTATCTAGAATAGGCAAATTCATAAAGCCAGAAAGCTGGATGGTGACTGCCAGAGATTAAGGAGAGGGAAAAATAGGGAATTAACATTTAATGGCTAGAGAGTTTCAGTTTGGGGATGAAAAAATTCTGGAGATGGATGGTAGTGACAGCTATGCAACACTGTGAATGTAATTAATGCTGCAGAACTGTTCTCTCAGAAATGGTGAAAATGGCAAATTTCACATTATGTGTATTTTACCACAATTAAGAAAAAATCATACAAATCTATTGAGTTCAGTATGACAAAAGAAAGCATAAACCAAATTAAAAGACATGTGACTGGGAGAAAATAGTGGAAATAATAGTGCTAAGATACCACTATTATTGTGCAGAACACCTAGAATAATCAGAGTTCTGCACCTTAACAAAAATAAAAAGATAAGCAATCTACTAGACAAAAAGGCAAGGGACATAAACAGGCAAATCACAAAAGATCAACAGATGGCCAATTCAACTCTACAAACTTAGGAAATGCAATTTAAAATGATCCATTGTTATTTCTTGCCCCTGGATTGACTATTTTTTTTTATTGACAATTTTTTAATTGATAATATTTCTAGGCTGGGTGCTGTGGCTCATGCTTGTAACCCCAATGTTCTGGGAGGCCAAGGCAAGCAAATTGCTTGAGCCTAGGAGTTCAAGACCACCCTGGGCAGCATGGCATAACCCCATCTCTACCAAAAAAAAAAAAAATACAAAAATTAGCCAGGTGTGGTGACACACACCTGTAGTACTAGCTACTCGAGAAGCTGAGGTGGGAGGATCGCTTGAGCCTGGGGGGTAGAGGGTGCAGTGAATCATGATAGTATCAATATACTCCAGCCTGGGCAAGAGAGCAAGATTCTGTCTCCAAAAAAAGGAAGAAAGAAAAGGAAAAAGAAAAGAAACAGATGCCTTCTATCATTTATTTTCTTATAAGTATGATAGAGAATGCCTAGCCAATATAATAATACAAGAAAATAATTTTTAAAACTTAAATATCGAAAATGGAATAAAAACACTGTCTTTGGCTGGGCAGAGTGGCTCATGCCTATAATCCCAGCACTTTTTTTTTTTTTTTTGAGACAGAATTTCGCTCCTGTTACCCAGGCTGGAGTGCAATGGCACGATCTCGGCTCACTGCAACCTCCGCCTCCTGGGTTCAGGCAATTTTCCTGCCTCAGCCTCCTGAGTAGCTAGGATTACAGGCACATGCCACCGTGCCCAGCTAATTTTTTGTATTTTTAGTAGAGACGGGGTTTCACCATGTTGACCAGGATGGTCTCGATCTCTTGACCTTGTGATCCACCCACCTCGGCCTCCCAAAGTGCTGGGATTACAGGCTTGAGCCACTGCGCCCGGCTAATCCCAGCACTTTGAAGGCCAAGGCAGGTGGATCACTTGGGGTCAGGAGTTCTAGATCAGCCTGACCAACACGGTGAAACCCCGTCTCTACTAAAAAATACAAAAATTGGCCAGGCGCAGTGGCTCACGCCTGTAATCTTAGCACTTTGAGAGGCCGAGGTGGGTGGATCACCTGAGGTCAGGAGTTCAAGACCAGCCTGACCATCATGGTGAAACCCCATCTTAAATAAATAAATAAATAAAGTAGCCGGGCATAGTGGCAGGCACCTGTAATCCCAGCTATTCAGAAGGCCAAGGCAGGAGAATCGCTTGAACCCAGGAGGCAGATGTTTCAGTGAGCCGAGATCACACCACTGTATTCCAGCCTGGGCAACAGAAGTTGGCGGATTTGCCTTAAATGATTTCAAGATTTGTTATAAAACTACAGTAATCAAGACAGAATGGTATTGGTGTGAAGACAGACAAACAGATGAATGGAATAGAGGAGAGAATCCAGAAACAGCCTTCACTTCACAGCCAATTACCAAAATATCAAAATGTCCTTCAATATAAGAGCAGTCAAATAATGCAAGATTTTTGAAAATTGTGGTACCTCTCTACGTGGGAAAGTATGAAGCTGACACAAGAATTTGTGTGTAGACCCACACAAATAGACATAAAAGAACGGTGTGTATAATAAAGCACTTATGCTTAAAAACCAAACCATTGTGGGGGAGGGGCACATGCATGTGTATTAAGAGTCTAGAGAGAATTTACCAATTAATAGTAATTACTCTGAGGAAAAGAAGAAGGGTAAAAGATGATATGTATATATACATCTTAATGATTCATGTTGTTCGTTTGTTTTTGAGACAGGTTCTCGCTGTCTCAAAACAGGCTGAAGTGCAGTGATGCAATCTCGGCTCACTGCAGCCTCGACCATCCAGGCTAAAGCAATTCTCCTCAGTTTCCCAAGTAGCTGGGACTAAAGGTGCGTGTCACCACCGCCAACTAACTTTTGAATTTTCTGAAGAGACAGGGTTTCGCCATATTATCCAAGGGTGGTCTCAAACTCCTGGGCTCAAACGATCCTCCAAACTCAGCCTCCCAAAGTGCTGGGACTACAGGTGTGGGCCACCATGCCTCACCAACTTATTTTAAAAACTGAAAAATAACTCACTGTCTTTACAGGACAAAAGAGTGTTACCCACCATTGGCAGGTATATAAAGGCAGCGGGCATAAAAGCTGGCATGCAGCTGGCCCACAACCAATGACAGTTTCCTTCCATCCATCAAGGTAGGTACTGGAAACAGAATCAATCCACACCTATTAACTTAGCCTACAAACATGACCAGGAGCCTTCAGCACCTGGAACACACTGTAAAGTGCTGATGAATTTACTTCAATAAAGGTGTCATAAAACTGGAGAAAGTTAAAGGAAAGGTGGCTAAAAAGATCAAGAGGCCAGGCACAGCGGCTCATGCCTGTAATCTCACCACTTTCGGAAGCTAGGGCAGTTAGATCACCTGAGGTCAGGAGTTTGAGACCAGCCTGACCAACAGGGTGAAATCCCATCTCTACTAAAAATACAAAATTAGCCAGGCATGGCAGCACACACCTGTAATTCCAGCTATTCGGGAGGCTGAGGCAGGAGAATCGCTTGATCCCAGGAGGTAGAGGGTGCAGTGAGCTGAGATCACGCCACTGCACTCCAGCCTGGGCAACAAGAGCAAAACTCCAACTCAAAAAAAAAAAAAAAGAAATCAAGACAACAAGGAGACTGCCATGTGAGGAAAAGCTAAAAGGACTGTGATTCTTCAGTTAAGAAGAGTAAGGTGACAACTGTAATCACTTTGAGCTATGGCCAACACAGTGAGTGGTATGAACAAGAACAGAATAATTACGCCTTGTCTACAAAATTGCACAAAACCAGCAGAAGAGACTCCTAGGATACCTGAGGACAAGTTGAGGATAAGCAGAGGGAAATCCCAATCTAAGGTAGCAAGTAAATTTATGGCATTCACTTTAGGGAGACAGGCTGGAGAGAGCTCTATGCATGTGATTAGGAAAACAAAATGCAAGACGGGAGGACAGAGTAGATACAGAGAACACAGAGCAGTGTCACGATGAGCAGGGATCACTGCAGTCCTCAGGAGATGGAGAGAGACAGCAGCAGTGACCATGGCTCCTTCTAGTTTCCCAACCTTGGCCACTCCATCTTTCCTCTCCATAAACCTGTTTCGGCCGGGCGCGGTGGCTCACACCTATAATCCCAGCACTTTGGGAGGCCGAGGCGGGTGGATCACAAGGTCAAGAGATCAAGACCATCCTGGTCAACAAGGTGAAACCCCATCTCTACTAAAAATACAAAAATTAGCTGGGCATGGTGGTGCGCGCCTGTAGTCCCAGCTACTCGGGAGGCTGAGGCAGGAGAATTGCTTGAACCCAGGAGGTGAAGGTTGCGGTGAGCCGAGATTGTGCCATTGCACTCCAGTCTGGGTAACAACAGCGAAACTCCATCTCAAAAAAAAAAAAAAAACCCTCTGTTTCCCTGAGACCCACTTAGTGAATCACTGCTCCTTCCATCCCAAAGAGCTCTAGCCAAAACTGAAAATATGAATGAATCTATGAATGTGAACCTATTCATGAATATGTTACATGAATTCAGATATGGCAGAGCCAGGCATTCCCAAGGGACACAGAAACCCTTTGCCAGTATGTATGGCCTCCCTACAAACCTCTTTAATGCCAGTATCCACTTTATTTTTATTTTTTTTATGTAGTAGTTTTATTCATATATTTTGGGTTTGTTTTTTTTTTGAGGCGGAGTCTCACTCTGTCACCAGGCTGGAGTACAGTGGCACAGCTGTGGTTCACTGCAACCTCCACTCCCAAGTTCAGGCAATTCTGCCTCAGTCTCCTGAGTAGTTAAGACTACAGGCACCCATCACCATACCCCACTAATTTTTTTATAATTTTAGTAGAGACAGGGTTTCATCATGTTGGCCAGGCTGGTCTCGAACTCCTAACCTCAAGCAATTCACCTGCCTCAGCCTCCCAAAGTGCCGGGATTATAATCGTGAGAACCATCGCACATGGCAAGACCAGCATCCATCTTAGACATGCTAAGGAGGTACAATTGTCACTTACAATATCAGTCTGCAAGGAGTAACAACAGTCCCTCAGCACATCCTAAACAGACGCTGGTGCTAGAGGACCGGACCCAGGGCAGTAGCTCCTGTGGCCTTGGATATATAAGCGTCGAACCGCATCCTAGGCACCATCCAATCAGCCTACACTCAGGCCTGAAACAGCAGGTGGCCCAGCAGAGGAACGGCACAGTGCTGTCCCTGACTGTGCAGGATAGGCTTGGAAAAGCGGGCCAGTTCAAACTGATCCCCAATGTTAGCTTCCCTCTGCCTCTGCTAAGCCAAGTCAGTGGGCTGCAGGCCCTGCTGATTTACCATGGTTTCCACTCCACAGGCAGTGGGGCCACAATGCCCTCCCGTGCCAGCCACATCAGTTCTGGTTCCTTGATGGGATCAATACCAATCTCCCGGGCAAATTCAAGAATTTCTGCAAGGAGAGGCAGAGGTGGGAGAGTAAAAGAGATTAATAGAAAAAAAAAAAAAAATCACAATCTTTTTTCTACTTTGCCTTTTCTTTCCATCAATGAGAAAATCTTATTTTTCTAAATTATCAACAATAAACATATATAATTGTTTCCTTACAATTTATAAATGGTACACTTGGATCCAAGCATGCTATCTCCACACTGCAATGATATAACCTAAAGCCAAGCATTAAAAAGGCGAAAAACAAAATAATATAAGACCAAGACGTCATTGCAGCAGGGGCCTCAGAGGGAAGAACCCCAAAAAGCCATAGCCAGAACCATCCAGGATGAGTACAGCCTTACCAGAAGGTAGTAAGCGCTCCCAAGATTTGCAAAAGCACTCATCACTCAATCAACAAGCATGTACTGAAAAACTACAAGTGACTAAGCTCCCTGTTACAAACACACAAATAAGAGTACAATCCAGGTGACATGTGCTGTAAGGAAGAAGACATGTCCTGTATGCTATAAGAGCAGAGAGAAGGCAGTGATTGATTCTGCCTAGGGGCAGGGAGCTATCTGAGCTGAGAAAGTGAATGATACTCAAGCAGGCTGAACGCCAACTCACTGAACCCTCTCTTCCCTGAAGTGAGTTGCCTCTTTTTCAATTTTGCTATATATATGGACTGTAATACTTTCGTTCTGGCTGGGTACGGTGGCATGGCTGTAACCCCAGCACTTTGGGAGGCCAAGGTGGGAGGATCGCCTGAATCCAGGAGATCAAGATCGGCCTGGGCAACATGATGAGACCCCGTCTCTATACAAAATACAAAAATTAGCTGGGCATGGTGGTGTGCGCATGTAGTGCAGCTACCCAAGAAGCTGAGGTGGGAGGATCACCTGAGCCTAGGGAGGTCAAGGCTGCACTCCAGCCTGGGGGACAAAGCAAGACTTCATCTCAAACAAACAAAAAATAATTTTTGCTATACTCTGGAAATCAAGCATTTAGAAAAGCTCTTTTGCCACAGAACTGAAGGAACTGTACTGACTTAAGAGGTATCTCAAGCCAGGCATGGTGGTTCATGCATGTAATCCCAGTTACCTCCAGCACCTCGGGAGGCCAAGGCAGGCAGAGATTACTTGAGCTCTGGATTTTAAGATTAGCTTGGGCAACATGGAGAAACCTTGTCTTTATAAAAAATAAAAAAAATTAGCCAGACATGGTGGCATGTGACTATAGTCCCAGCTACTAGGGAGGCTGAGGCAGGAGAATCGCTTGAGCCCAGGAAGCAGTCACTGCTGTGAGCTGAGATCCCGCCATTGCACTCCAGCCTGGGTGACAAGAATGAAATCGTGTCCACAAAAAAAAAAAAAAGATAACCATTGGAACATGTCACTAGAACCCCCAAAAATGATTAAATAAATACTCAAATGACATCAATGCTTAAGCTGGTTAACAACCTAGGCCAGAAGGGCATCACCAATGAGCCACTGCAGTGTAGAATTTGAAGGCTGACATACCTGGGAACTAGGAAAGAAAAAACATTTTTTCAAATATGGTTGGAACTTGATTGGTCAGAGACTAATTTACTCATTTTTCACAAATATTTTTGAGTGCCTCCTATGTACTAGTCACTATAAGCCTTAAGAAAAAAACTAGTCACTGCCATTATGGAGCTTACATTCTAGTAGAAGAGACAGCCAGCAATGAAGTAAACAGATAAATATACAAAAAATTAAAGTTTCTGATAAATGCAATGAGGGAAGTAAATGAGGTATGAGCTAGAGAACGTCAGGGTAGAAGTGCACTCCTTTGGAAAGGATGGTCAAGCCTCTCAGCAATGTTGACAGTTAACTGAAACCTGCGCAAGCTATAGGAGCCAGCCATGCAGAGCACTGAAGAAAGAGCATTCAGGCAGAAGAAAAGCAGATGCAAAAGATCTGTGACAACCAGCAGCTCTAGGGACTCTCAGAAAGTCAGTGTAGCCAGGCATGGGGTGGCACACCTGTAATCCCAGCACCTTGGGAGACTGAGGTGGGTGGACTGCTTGAGCCCAGGAGTTCAAGACCACCCTGGGCAACATGGCAAGACCCCATCTCTACAAATAAAATATAAAACTTAGCCGGGCCTGATGGCATGCACCTGTGGACCCAGCTACTTGAGAGGCTGAGGTGGGAGAATCGCTTGAGCCCAGGAGGTCAAGGCTTCAGTGAGCCAAATTCATGCCACTGCACTCCAGACTCCAGTCTGAGTGACAAAGTGAAAACTGGTCTCGGGGAAAAAAAAAAAAAAAAAAAACAGGCCAGTGTGACTGGTAGAGAGAGCCAGGTCACAGAGCCTTGCAATCCTATCAAGGGTGTTGAGGATATTGGGGGTAGGGGGACTAAAAGCACAGCACTGATGTGATCTGCTTTATAAGCAGTAAGAATAATTAGGAAGATAGCCCAGGAAGGGAAAATGGTGGCTTGAGGTTAGAATGCCCACACCTGAACTGAGCAGAAGACAGTTTTTACAAACATCCTCAGAAAAACCTTTACTCCATTTACAACAGCAACCAAATGTATACAAATTTAAGAAATAGGTCAGTCATGGCTGGGCAAGTGGCCTATGCCTGTAATCCCAGCACTTTGGGAGGCTGTGGCAGGTAGATCACCTGAAGTCAGGAGTTCAAGACCAGCCTGACCAATACGGTGAAACTCTGTTGCTGCTAAAAATACAAAAATTAGCTGGACGTGGTTGCATGTACTTGTAGTCCTAGCTACTCAGTAGTCTGAGAAAGAAGTATCACTTGAACCCAGAGGCTGCAGTGAGCCGAGATCATGCCACTGCATTCCAGCCTGGACAATAGAATGAAACTATTAAAAAAAAAAAAAAAAAAAAAAAAAAAAGGCCAGGTGCAGTGGCTCATGCCTGAATCCCAGCACTTTGGGAGGCCAACATGGGTAGATCAAGAGGTCAAGCGACAGAGCAAGACTCCATCTCAAAAAAAAAATTTAAAAAAACAGGCAAGAGGCCAAGGTAGGCTCATAGATGATCTAACCCAAATATACTAAGCAACTCTGTACATGTTCCATACTTTGTACTGAAAGAACAAAAATAAATCAAACATAATCCCTGTCCTCAAAAAACAAACACAATACACCACAGGTCTCTCCACAAACCTGTTACCTTGCTCACTAGGAATGTAGGTCTCATCATAATCTTCCTCCAGAACCAGCTGATCTCCTATGCAGAGGGGTTGTCCAGCCATGACTCATCTGGGCTCAAACACCTAGATCCCAGAGACCCCCGCCAAAAGAGAAATTAGTGACCAAGCTTATCAGGGAAAAGTTGGCACTGGGTCATGGAGCATCTGGGTCAAACCAGACCCTGCACACCAATTTGGCCAGGGCCTTTCCAGGCACCAGGTATAGTAGAGGGTGAAACCAACAACTCAAGGCTCACAGCCCTGCACATGGTCTCCTAAAGGCCTGATGAACACTGGTGAACCACAAAAGACCTTCAAGCCTGGCTCTGTCAAGAGTTTGACTTTATATCTCCCCCAGATTAGAAGAAGCAATTATAATACAGAACCACCAAGTAGAAAATCCTAGGGACACCATAATAACTAGCAGCACACAGACCCCCCCCCCCCGCCATACACCAGCACACCTCCGTGGCACACCCCCATCTCAACACGTATCCCTATCTGGATGTCCCAATTCAAATCCAAAATGCCCTTAGGAAGCTTACAATCCAGTAGAGGGAACAACCTCAAGAGTAGCGGAAGGCAGAAGGAAAAAAGCAACTTCCTGTTCTGGGAGTACTAAGAAAAAGAGCAAAAAATTCCCCCAAAGAAATGAAGGAAGCCTGACAAGGCATTCTAAGCTGAACAGAAAAGAACCAGGAACAAGGGCAGCAGGATTCTAAACAGAGGGAGCATCATGTGCAGACAGGTGTTCCAGAGTGAAGACACCACCATGTGTGATGGGCTGATCACAGAGAGCCTTGCAGACTGTGCTAAAGAGCCTCCACCCTGTCCTACAGCAGAGGGGAGTCACTGAGGGCTCTGGTGAAACAAAGTATCACAAGGTGGCCTTTTTTTAGGACAAGAACTCTGGCAGGACTGGCATGGTTGGATTAGAGAAATTAGAGACTGGTGTCAGGAAAACCACCCAAGAAGGCTGCTGCCCAGGGGAAAGATGATGAGGGCTTTAACTAGGGCAGAAGCAAGGAAATGGGAGATGGACAGACAGAATGGACCAGTAACGTTAAGCTTAATAGGACCTGGATATGGGGAAAGAGTGGAAAGGAGCTATGTCCCACCAAAATTTACATATGCAAATACTTTTTTTTTCCTACAGAGATGGTGTCTCATTATGTTGCCCAAACTGGTCTTGAACTCCTGGGTGCAAGCGATCCTCCTGTCTCAGCCTCTCAAAGTGGAAAAAATTCACATATTGAAGCCCTAATTCACAATGAGACTGGATCTTTAGGAGGTAATTAAGGTTAAATGAGGTCATTAAGGCTAAATGGCCTGATAGGATTAAAAGGAGATGGAAAGAAAGGACCAGGAACCAGGGTGGCAGATGGGGCCCACTGCCTGGTGGCTTAGAGTTCTTACTCTTTTTTTTTTTAAGATGAAGTCTCACTCTGTCACCCAGGCTGAAGTGCAGTGGCATAATCTTGGCTCACTGCAACCTTTAGCTCCTAGGTTCAAGCAATTGTCCTGCCTCAGCCTCCTGAGTAGCTGGAACTACAGGCATGTGCCACAATACCCAGCTAATTTTTGTTATTTTTAATAGAGACGGTTTCACCATATTGGCCAGGCTGGTCTCAAACTCCTGAAGCTTGAATCCAAGGTTTCTAGCTCCCGGGACGGGGCGGTGCCAAATTCTTCAGACAAGCTGGTGCACTTCTAGAATTGCTCCACTCTTCCCACCACTACCTCAAGACCCCAATTCCCACCAACTCTCCCATGGAGGCTCCCACGCTGCAGCCTGATGATGTAGGCCACCTGGAAAACTGCTGCTGCGCACAGCCCTGCTCAGAGCACCTCTCCAACCTGCAGAGGAGTTGGCCACACTAGGTGTCACCAACAGGAGTCTGGAGCCACAAGTCCTGACCTCTCTAGTCCCCACTTCCTCAGAAGCTGCCACTGTTCCCCCTGGAGCAGCAAGGATGAAACAGCCCTCTTCAAGCAGAAAGACCCAGCCATCAAAAAGGTCAGGATCTGGAGACTGTGAATCTATTACAAGGTTCCTAGAGACTCCTGACAAGCAACAAAGGATCCATCAGGGACCGTTTACTGTGGATCCCTCTCTGTACTGCGACAGCTGAGAGGTGGGCAACAGAGGAGTCCTGCCTTAGGACTCACAAGACAGGGTTCCCTTTGTCAGTGCACTGAACAAAAAGGGAGCCATCTTCTGTCCCTCTCATTCCCACCATGCCACCTCCTAGCAGGAAGAAAATACCAAAAGAAAAGGGCTTCTTTTGGCAGGACAAAAGCTGAAGTGAGAATGTGCTCCCAACCCTCAGAAGAACCGGCAATGTCCTGCAGACCTGACAGCCGACTGTGCTGCATGCACAGCCAGAGACAACAGAGGCCTGACCACTGTTGACTCTAAAAAGCTGAGCAGAAAAGAACCAGGAACAAGGGCGGCAGATGGGGCCCACTGCCTGGTGGCTTACAGAGTCACCTGAATCTTTAATCCTCTTAGGAGAGAAGAAGAAGAGAAAAGGAAAGGATCCACGGGCAGGTAGGGACCGACAATGGCCTGAACATTAGAGTGAACAGGCACTTCTCAAGCGTGTGCTCTATACAAGGGACTGTCTAAACTACCTCAGAAATTCTGCATTTGAGAAATGTTATCCCATACATCCCATCTCCAGAAAGCACAGGACAGACAGTCTCTGTCTGCATGGCAAAAAGACTAATTTGCTATATACATAATGATCTATATTTACCTTTTTTTTTAAAGAGTGTCACTCTGTCACCCAGGCTGGAATGCAGCGAGAGGCTCACTGCAACCTGTTTCCTAGGTTCAAGCTATTCTCCACCTCAGCCTTCCTAGTAGTTGAGATTACAGGCACTCACCACCATGTCTGGCTAATTTTTGGATTTTTAGTAGAAATGGGATTTCACCACATTGGATAGGCTGGTCTCGAACTCCTGACCTCAGGTGATCTGCTGGCCTTGGCCTCCCAAAGTGCTGGAATTACAGGCATAAGCCACCGTGCCATGTGATATATTTAACTATTAAAACATCAGGGAAACGCTGAAAAATCTGAATTCATGGATCATCAAATTTAAATAAATGTTCTTCCAGAAAAAAATTTAAATATAGGTGGGTTGTATTCTACCTTCTTTCCTTGCCTTACCTGGCTCTAGAAAAAATGAGGGCAGGGACAGGTCTAAAATGGCAAGGAGTTGCAGAAAAATGGAACATGGGAAGAGAAGTCATATCTATTTGCAGGATGGCTACTAAAGAACATCTGCTCATTCGAGGAATATTTATTGGGCACCAACCACGTGCATTTACTTCTAGGTGCTAAAGATGCAATCGTGATTAAAAACAAATTCAGCTGCTGCTACTCTTGAGCTACAGTCTGGGAAGGGAGGGAGACAAACCAATCAGTCACAGAGAAATGTATAATTAGAACCAAGGGAAGTGCTCTGAAGAAAATAAGCCTGATTTAGATGATGCCTACACTGAGAACCGAAAGATGAGTAGGCATTCACTAGACAAAGAGCAAAGGAAAGGGTGTTCTTACAGACATATGCAAAAGTCCTTCAGCAGAAGAAAACACTAGGCAAGAAGCAGGACAGTTAGAGAGGATGTTGGGGAGGCCAGTGGGAGACAAGTCATGCAGAGTTGGCCTTTATCATAAGAGAACTAGGGCTGGGCACAGTGGCTCACACCTGTAATCTCAGCACTTTGGGAGGCCAAGGTGGGAGGATCACTTAAGCCCGGGAGTTTGAGACCACCCTGAGCAACATAATAAGACCCTGTCTCACCCTGTACAAAAAAATTAAAAAATTAGCCAGGGGTGGTAGTGTATACCTGTAGTCCCAGCTACATGGAAGACTGAGGTGGGAGGATCACTTGAGCCCAGGTGGTCAAAGCTACAGTGGGCCTTGATTGTGCCACTGTACTCTAGACTCAGTGACAGAGAAAGACCCTGTCTCAAAAAAGAGAAGTGAAAGCCAGGAAATGATTTTTCCAGATACATATTTTGAAAAATTACTCCAGAAGCTACTAGGAGTACCCTAAAGCGAAGACCAGATTGGAAAGAAGAAAATCAGGTCTGTGAGAGAGATAAGGTAAAAAATCACGAGCTAGGTTAGGTGACAGGCAATGGTAACCTGAGTTGGAGTGGTAACAGAGAGGATAAGTCTAAGAATGGAGCCCTTGGGCCAGGCACCATGGCTCAGACATGTAATAACAGGGCTTTGGGAGGCTGAGGCAGGAGGATCGCTTAAAGCCAGGAGTTTGAGACTAGCTTGGTGAACACAGTGAGACCCTGTCTACCCAAAAAATTTAAAACACCAGCCATGCATGGTGACATACACACCCACAGTCCCAGTTACTTGAAGGGGGGCTCAGATGGGAGGATCCCTTGAGCCCAGGAGTTCAAGGCTACAGTGAGCTATGATAACACCCCTGCCTGGGGGACAGACTGAGACCCTGTCTCTAAAATAAATAAATAAGAATGCAGCCCTTAGATATGCCATGCCTAATAAATGGAACATGTCCTAATATTTTCCTCCAGGCCTAAAATTGTGAGGGACATCACTAGTCAATCATGGCACCCTAGACATGACCTCAGAACCCTCAACATTGTTCGCTACATAGCAGTTACCAACAGATCAGATGAAACCCAGTAGGATCTACTTGCTGCCTAGCCTGAGACCTTCTGTGAGCCATAGAGTTGGGAGGGGTCATCCAACTGCACTCATGCATCTCTTACCAATCTCTGAATCAGACAAAAAAGAAGTGGCTCACACATTTCCTCCAGGAAGCCTTCCCAACCAACCTCATCCTCTCCAGTCAACCCAGAACTACCTTAGCACTAAGCTCATAATTCTCAAGTGTCCACAGGCAGATTTCTCTCAATATTACTTTTTGCATGAAAATGTGTTCTACCTCTACTGTTAAACCACACACTTCTGAGAGCCATGCCTCCTCCTCTGGAATTTTCCAACAAAGCCTAACATAAGCCTATGTAAGCTGCTGGAGCTGTTACTGCTGTAAACCGCAAATATAAGGCCTAGGATCACTTGAGCCTAGAAGGTCAAGACCAGCCTGGGCAATATAGTGAGACCCTATCTCCACCAAAAAAAAAAAAAATTAGCCAGGCATGGTGGTGTGCACCTGTGGTCCCAGCCACTCAGAAGGCTGAGGCAGGAGCTATCTGACCAGATGGAAAAGAAGACAGAGTTACATAAAGAGTGTAAAGTGGGGAGGCTGAGGCAGGAGGATCACCTGAGTCCAGGAGTTCAAAGCTTCAGTGAGCTATGATCACACCACCATACTCCATCCTGGGCAACAGAGTGAGACCCTAGCTGAGAAAAAAAAAAAACACACAAGCAATCTCAGGAGCTGGGAAGGCCCTCAGTAGTTTTGGTCCACCTTCGTTCCCATGCTAAAATTTTCCTCTCTGTGCTTTAAATGACAGACAGCATAGTGGTCAAAGCACCAGCATTGGGCCAGGGGCGGTGGCTCAAGCCTGTAATCCTAGCACTTTGGGAGGCCAAGGCGGGTGGATCACGAGGTCAACAGATCAAGACCATCCTGGTCAACATGGTGAAACCCCGTCTCTACTAAAAATACAGAAAATTAGCTGGGCATAGTGGCACGTGCCTATAATCCCAGCTACTCGGGAGGCTGAGGCAGGAGAACTGCCTGAACCCAGGAGGCGGAGGTTGTGGTGAGCCGAGATCACGCCATTGCACTCCAGCCTGGGTAACAAGAGCGAAACTCCATCTCAAAAAAAAAAAAAAAAAAAAGCACCAGCTTTGGGGACAGACAGAAGACCTGGATTCAAATCCCAGCTCCCTCACTTACCAGCTGTATGACCTTAGGCAAGGTGCCTCACCTCTCTCAGCCTCAATAACCTCATGTGTATAATTCAATCATGACAATTCTTAACTATTAGAAGGTCTTTCTAATAGTAAGCCAATAATCCATTGCTAAGAAATATTCCCTGATATCTCAGGTTCTGCCTTCTGCTTAATTGGGAGGCACCCCAGGATTCTCTAGCTAAGGTAAGCTAAGTATGCCCAGTTCCCTTCCATTCAATACATATCATTGTTTCCCAGTCCCTCAGTTTTGTGGCTACCTTACTCTGTACTTTGTCAGCAAAGCTAGAGTTCTGCACATCTACACGCTAACAGAGAATATACACTCATAGGCATAATAAGGGTTCCCTGCATATTTATTTCTTCCACCCTGCTCCAACAATTATAAAGAAGGTTGACCACAGAAAAGACTGACTGGAGAAGGAACTGGGGAGAAGGTGGAAGATGTGAGAATTGATTACGAAGTGGTAATGAGCAAATGTTTTAAAACATTCTTGGCTTTGAATCCCAGCTCTGCCTCTTACTAGCTGGGCAGCCTCAGTTTGCTCATCTATAAAATGAGAGTAATAACACTGCCCATCACAATGTGTTGTGAGGCTTATATGATTCAACACATGTAAAGCGCTTAAAATATACTAAGATCTCAATAAGTGTTAGACATTACATTATTATTATTGCTATTCACATATTTAAAGGACTTATTCTACATTTCTCCAAAGCATATATCCAGCACCAGGGAATATAAGTTATGGCCATTCAGACATTCATTACTTTTTTCTTTTTTTTAGATGGAGTATCGCTCTACTAATAATACAAAAATTAACCAAGTGTGGCGGCACGTGCCTGTAATCCCAGCTACTCAGGAGGCTGAGACAGGAGAATCACTTGAAACTGGAAGGCGGAGGTTGCAGTGAGCCGAGATCGCACCATGGCACTCCAGCCTGGGCAACAAGAGTGAAACTCTGTCTCAAAAAAAAAAAAAACTTGCAAAAGGTTTAACAGCTAATAAACGGTAGAGAAAATGTAGGTATCCAAGTCTGACTCCAAATCCGGAACTCTTTTTTTTTTTTTTTTTGATACAGTCTTGCTCTGTCCCCAGGTTGGACTCACTGCAACCTCCACCTCCCAGGTTCAAGCGATTCTTCCACCTCAGCCTCCCAAGTAGCTTGGACTACAGGTGCGTGCCAATCACCCAGCTAAATTTTATATTTTTTTAGTAGAGACGGGGTTTCACCATGTTGGCCAGGATGGTCTCAATCTCTTGACCTCGTGATCCACCCACCTCAGCCTCCCAAACGGAACTCTTAATCACTCTGACATGACCAGAGTGCAAGAGACAGTGGGAGGAGTGGCAAGAGAGAGCTCTAGAATGAAAGGCAAGCTGGGCACGGTGGCTCACGCCTGTAATCCTAGCACTTTGGGAAGCCGAGGTGGGTGGATCACCTGAGGTCAGGAGTTCAAGACCAGTCTGGCCATCATGGTAAAACCCTAACTTTGAAAAAAAAAGAAAAGAAAAAAAAGAAAAGGCAAGAGCATGTTATAAAGGGCATGGAAGAACTCAGGCTCTATCCTGTAAATGATGAGGGGCCATCACAGAATTTCACAAAGGAGACTGGCATGATCAGATCTGTAGGTCAGACAGATGATTCTAATCAGGCATGGTGGTGCATGCCTGTAGTCCCAGCTACTCAGGAGACTGGGGTGGGAGAATGGCTTGAGAGCAAGAGTTTAAGGCTACAGTGTGCTAGGGTCAAACCCATGAATAGCAACTGCACTCCAGCCTGGGCAACATAGGAAGACCCTGTCTCTAAAATAAATAAATTATTCTGGTAGCTGCATAAGAACTAATTACAGGAGGACAAGAACTGAGGCAGAAAGACCACTTAGGAAGTTATCCTGAAAGCACAAGCAAGAAAGTATGAACTAAGTCAGTGGCTGTGGAAAGGAAGGGCCAGATTCTGGGGGAATTAAGAGGCAGAATACAGGACTTGAACTTCAGGAGAGAGGAGGGAAATCAGAGCATTTAAGCCAGAACACTATGATTATCTGTTCGTTTCTATGCGTTGTCCAATAGGCAGCCTCACCTACCACACTGCCTAGAAGACAGGACATTTCCGACAGATGTCTACTGTCTGTATTAGATGAATAAATTCCAGGTGCAGACTTGGCTGAGTGAATGAAGCCTTTCACTGAGATAAGAAATACAAGAGGAACAGATCCGAGGGACTGAGGAAGGCTGATGACGACAGTAAGCAGGTCTGAGCTCAGGAAAGCGGTCTGGCTGATGAGTAGTTTGGGGAGTCCATGGTGAAAAGCTGATAACGCAAGAGATGGAGTGCGCTGAGTAGAAGGGAGGGCTTTCTCCTGCAGAAGACTGAGTTAGGAGAACCGACCGACAGGGAGTCGCGGAAGCCAAGTGAGGAGAGCGGTGCCAGAGATAGAGGACGATTTTTAAATCAATACAAGCAAAGGAAAAAACAAGCTTTCCAACTTACCCAAAAGATGGCATAAGGCTGGGCTAGCCCCGGATTTGGACCCCGGGGAGCCTGCCACAGAAGTATCCCAGCAAGCTTCGGAAGGCCTGGCCTCACTCGCAAACCAGGGCAAGGTGCCCAGGGCCCCTCTCCCGCGTCCCGACCCGCTGCTCACCCACCGGCCAAACCCCAGCCCGGGACCTGCTGGCCCGCTCAGTGGGCGCCGAGATTTCAAACCGACGCACCCCAGCCCGGTCGGCGGTTTTTCACGTCTTCCCTCAGTCCCCGCCCACACTCGGGCGCTACCCGCTCGCTGACTCGCGAGCCTGCCTCAGCTCCCCCGCCACGCTCCCTTCCCCGCCGCCCAACTCCTCCCTTGAGGAGGTCCTCACCTATCCCCCACCCCGGAAGGCTCCGGGCGAGGCGCAGCTCCCCCAACGCCACCCGACACCCACCCTCCCCGCTTCCAGGGACGCCAGAGTGTTGTCCTGCAGCGCGCAACAAACACTTCCGGAAAAGGTACAGGCCTAGCAACTGAGAGTCCCGCCTCCAGCCGGAGCCAATAGGTCGCCGGGTGAGAGCTCTGACACTGGATTGGCTCAAGGTCCCGTCGGTGCACGCGTGAGCTCTGCCAGTTTTCCGTTGCACGATGGGAGTGTAGTTTAGGGTAGGTAAGCTGAATCCGCAAAAGGTTAAAAGAGAACCTCGAATTTAGACGTGAGGATTTCTGCCAGGACAGAAAAGGACTATTCAGAGTACTTAACAGTAACGTGAATTATCTAAGGCAGTTTATTGATGATTTGTTAGGAGTATGATCATCGGGTGAATAATACAGTGGTCATCAATAATCAACCCATTGGCCCTTCAATAACAAAAAAGAAATGTGAATGTAAGGTAATGGAGACGCCCCCACGCCCCATCTCTCCCCGCAAAAAAATGGTTCTCCTGTGCTTCGATTAAATCAATGAGCACCTGACCAGGAGTTAGACCTATTTTCTGCTATCCATCTTTTCACCAAAGCCCAGGGTTCAGTTTGAAAATGCCTGCATGATGGGGATAGTAATGTCTGTCATAACTATTTTAAAGAGTTTGTTGAAGAAGAAAAAAAAGTGACACAATGTGTAGCTCCTCCACACACCCTGTCTGGCAGAAACGTTGCCACTAATATAATTCCGAAGAGTTTTCGTTTTGCTTGCACGAGGGCAAATCTTCCTCTCATATGTCGCCAACCTCCTAGACAAGTTAAGAGGGGCAAAGACGGTTCTGGCCATGACATCAGTGGGAAAACTGAAAAACGGACAAATAGAGACGCTGCTAGTTGAAGAGGAAAATGGTGAGGCCGAGCTCCCAAAGCCGCTTCTGACAGGTTCTAGAGATGTATCCAACTCAGACTAGTCCCAGCGCCACTCAGAGGCTGATTCCAGAATGAGAAACTCTGATTATTGGAATATACAGGATATACAGAGCATATTCCTTGTGAAAGTTGTCAAAATCAGGAGTCATTTGTATTAAAACCCTGACAAATGGAGCCAGGGAAGGCCATCAAGAGAGGGTTCTCAGGGACAAATGCCTGATAACAAGAACCATCGACCGGGCCTGGTGGCTCATACCTGTAATTCTAGCACTTCGGGAGGTGGAGGTAGGAGGATCACTTAAGCCCAAGAATTCAAGACCAGCCTGGGCAACATGACAAGACCCTGTCTCTATTAAAATATATATATATATATGTACGTGTATATATACGTACGTATATATGCACGTACATATATATATATATATACGTACATATATATATATATATATTAGCCAGGTGTGGTGGCACATGCCTGTGATCCTAGCTACTCAGGAGGCTGAGGTGGGAGGATCAGTTGAGCCTGGGAAGTTAAGACTGCAGTGAGCCGTAATTGAGCCACTGCACTCTGGCCTGGGCAACAGAGTGAGACTCTGTCTCAAAAAAAAAAAAAAAAAAAAGCCAGGAACTATCACAAAAGAATGCAAAAACCACAGCCTTGCACAAAGGCTATCCACGAACTTATACACACACAAAAAAAAAAACCTCGGCAAGACCATCTGTGCAGCAATTGCCTGTCCAACCTTGGACTGATGCTGCCCCTGTTATTGAGCCTTGTAGTCAAGGATTATTTGTTTCAAAACTATTTATGTAATCATCTTCATTTGGCCTTTAAAAATTCCTACTTGCACAGTCTCTATGGCATGTGGATTCTCATTGCAATGCTACTTCTGAATAAATATCATGCTCTTTTGGAGTTTCCCTCTCTGTTATTTAGATTGATGCTCCTCACGTTTAAGTTTTTCTGCAGCAGTCATGCCTATACTTCCTTTATTCTTTTTTTTTTTTTGAGACGGAGTTTTGCTCTTGTTACCCAGGCTGGAGTGCAATGGCACTATCTCAGCTCACCGCAACCTCCGCCTCCTGGGTTCAGGCAATTCTCGTGCCTCAGCCTCCTGAGCAGCTGGGATTACAGGCACGTGCCACCATGCCCAGCTAATTTTTTTGTATTTTTAGTAGAGACGGGGTTTCACCATGTTGACGAGGATGGTCTTGATTTCTTGACCTCATGATCCACCCGCCTCGGCCTCCCAAAGTGCTGGGATTACAGGCTTGACCCGGCTACTTCCTTTATTCTTACTGTAGATGACAAATCATTGATCCCCCTTCCTCTCCACCTTCTTTAAAAGTCTAGGCCAAGCAAGTGGGTCACACCTATAATCCCAGCACTTTAGGAGGCTAAGGCAGGCAGATCGCTTGAGGTCAGGAGTTTGAGACCAGCCTGGCCAAAGTAGTGAAACCCTATCTCTACTAAAAATCCACAAATTAGCTGAGTGTGGTGGCAGGCACCTGTAATCCCAGCTACTCAGGAGGCTGAGGCAGGAGAATCATTTGAACCCAGGAGGCAGGGGTTGCAGTGAGCCAAAATCACACCACTGCACTCCAGCCTGGGCGACAGAGTAAGACTCTGTCTCAAAAATAAATAAATAATTAATTGAAAAATAAATAAAAGTCTCACTGAGGGGCCAAGGGGACCAGACTGGGAAGGAATTCTAAGGCTCACCAGCTCATCTACTACAAACCTGTACAAAACAGGGATTCAAAAATCCATCTGTAGACTTGGTCCTATATCTAAGAATTTGCAATCTTTGCAATCAATCTGGTTTATTTTATTTATTTTTATTTTATTTTTTTGAGACACAGTCTTACTCTGTTGCCACCATGCCAGGCTGACTTTTGTATTTTTAGTAGAGACAGAGTTTTACGATGTTGGCCAAGCTGGTCTTGAATTCCTGACCTCAGGCAACACCAGCCTCAGCCTTCCAATGTGCTCGCATTACAGGCATGAGCCACTGTGCCCAGCTCTGTTGATTTTAATTGCCATCCAAATGCTTAACTCTTGTGCCTTAGCATGGGTTCCTTTCTCTCTCTCTCTCTCTCTCTCTCTCTCTCTGAGCTGATAAAATAAGAGATACTATGGGATTAACAGGATTACCTTCACTCAGATCAACAATTTGCATTTTATCAGGTTTCCTCATAAGTTTGTACTTAGAAATGCAAGCCAATTTATAAAATGCCCCAAGGCAAACATAATTAAGAAAGTAATCTTTGGGGTGGTGGAAGAATAACAAAAGTGATGCACAATTTTTTTTTTTTGAGAGGGAGTTTCTCTGTCACCCAGGATGGAGTGCAGTGGTGTAATCTCAGCTCACTATAACCTCTGCCTCCCAGGTTCAAGCGATTCTCCTGCCTCAGCCTCCCAAGAAGCTGGGACTATAGGCATGTACCACCACGCCTGGCTAAGTTTTGTAATTTTTAGTAGAAATGGGGTGCCACCATGTTGGCCAGACTGGTCTTGAACTCCTGACCTCAGGTGATCTGCCTGCCTTGGCCTCCGAAAGTGCTGAGATTACAAGCATGAGCCACCACACCCAGCCTGACACACTAACTGATATACCAATAATATACCCAATGAATGAAGAAGAGAGATAGGACTTCACTCATTATATGTTATCTTCTACAGTAAGAATGAACATTTAGGGGTCATATTTCAAAGATGGGAAAGAATTGATGACAAATTTTTTCCCTACTCCTAGGTCAGAAACTCCACTATTAGAACTTTTTCTTTTTTCTTTCTTTTTTTTTTCTGAGACAGTGTCTTGCTCTATCGCCCAGGCTGGAGTGCAATGGTGCGGTCTCCGCTCACTGCAACCTCCACCGCGTGGGTTCAAGCGAGTCTCCTGCCTCAGCCTCCTACATAGCTGGGATTACAGGCATGTGCCACCAGGCTCAGCTAATGTTTGTATTTTTAGTAGAGGCAGGGTTTCACCATGTTGGCCGGGCTAGTCTTGAACTCCTGACCTTGTGATCTGCCCACCACCTCGCCCTCCTAAAGTGCTGGGATTACAGGCATGAGCCACTGCACGCAGCCTAGAACTTTTTCTTACAACTCAACAGCCAAAAAACAAAAAAAAAGAAAAAAAAACCCAAATAACCAGATTTAAAAATGGGCAAACTGCCTTAAAAGACATTTCTCAAAAGAAGATATACAAATGGCCAGTACATGAAAAAATGTTCAACATTACTAACCATGAGGGAAATGCAAACCAAAACCACGATGAGATACCACCTCATTCCAGTGAAAATGGCTACAATAAAACAAAGGAAAACAAGGGTCGGTGAGGATGTGGAGAAAAGGATATGCTTACAATGTTGGTGGGATTGTAAATTAGTACAGTCACTATGGAAACTGTATGGTGGCTCCTCAAAAAATTAAAATTAGAACTACCACACTATCCAGCAATCCCAGTACTCGGTATATATCCAAAGGAAATGACATTAGTATGTTAAAAAGATCTCAGCACCCCCATGTTAATTGCAGCATTATTTACACTACTCAAGATATGCAATGAACCCAGGTGTCCAACAACAGATAAAAGGATAAATAAAATGTGGTATATATACACAATGACATACTATTTGGCCATAAAAAATAATGAGATCCTGCCATTTGCAACAACCATGAATGAACCTGGAGGACATGATGTTAAATGAAATAAACTAGGCACAGAAAGACAAAGACTGCATGATCTCAGTCATGTGGAATTAAAAAAAAAAAAGTTCATCTCATAGAAGCAGAGAGTAGAACAGTGGCTACCAGACTGTGGAGGAAAAGAGAGGGGAACATGGGGAAAAGGTTGGTCAATGAGCATTAAGTTACTATTAGGA